GACACATGTTCAAGACCATATCCAGGGACAAATACCCGTTACAACGAATATTGGCCTAAATCCACACCTATCATATGGCGTAAATAGTGGATCAATTAACCAACAACAATCTGTACCGATGACAACAGGTTCCCAAACACAACAGGAAGGCAGCACAGACCATTCTTATTACAACAATCTGTCCAATCAACACCCTAGTGTAAATAGTGGTCAGGCATCGCTTTCCTCGCTACAGACTATTGGAACTTCACCGAACCAGCAACCACAACTGATAAATCCACTTAATCAGCCGCAATTAAATCCCGCGTACATTATAAGGCCTAGTAATGGAGGCGGAGGCGACCACAGCGGTCAAGTAATTCCTAACACAGTGTTACAGAGTACAGGAGCCCATGGTCAATCATCTGCCTCAAAAGTGGAAACGTCGTTTGATCCAAACAGATTGATGGAATCGATAGAAGCGGAAACATCACAATACAACCCTAACGCATTCCTGGCAAAGCAAAATTACATCACTGCAAATCAATGGAACTTTGCTAATCAGATACCCGAGAACACACAACCTGGTAGTCAGACAGACGTAGAACAGCAGAAGAAACCGTATGATATTGGGTCTGGTCAACTCAACTTTAAGCCTGACACAATGCTGACTCCTTTAGGACTTTCAGGCCAGAAGTTCACATTCGATCCCGATAAGATCAACTTGTTCGGTAGCAGTGGATTTCAACCTGGCATATATCCACTGTCTTCTGACAATAAGGATTTGCCCAAGAATATGTTCAATGCAGATACAGTCAATAAGATGTTGATGAGTTACAGTGGACAGCCAAAGCAGCAGCTAAACCAGGAGGACCGAACAAGTTTTAGGCCTAGCTACGATCCAAATACATTCAACCGTCCGGCTTTAAACAGTATACCAAGCACCTATTTACAGTTCATAAAGAATGAAGGTAGTGAAAGTGTAGATCCACCTGCCAGTTTCCCTGATAATAAACCATTAGAAGAACCCTTACTCACACCTTCCCAAACATCACTTCGACATCATTCTGGGAATGGTTTTCAATCACAACCTTTGTCACCGATCCATGACAAGGATAACGCGTTATCCCTTACCAACATGTTCCAGTCTGCGAAATTCAACCCCGATCAAATCAACGCTGCTCAACGTCAATTCGACGCAGACTCATTATCCATGTCTGTATATAGCGGGCGAGGAAGTAATTCACTATCAGATATACGCAAGACAAAATCTGTACGAAAGTCGTCTCGTTATGAAAATAGAGCAAACATTGTAAAACGCAATTCTTCTGAACCACAAACACCCAGTCCTATCTCCAGTGATTCAAACCATTCAATGGCTTTATCCAGTACAGCTGTGCCATTTAACCAACCGGTGACGACAGTCGTTGCAACTACCTCTAGTACAACTCCAGCGAGTACTGATGAACCATTATTCAACCCAAACAACGTCAATTTAGGTATTGCCCAAATGATGAATTTTAGTCCCGGATCTCTTATGATGGGCTATAACCAGGTGCCGTCTCTACAAAACAATAATATGGCTAATACCGCATTTAATCCTGTTCAGATGAATCAAATGGGGAAATTTCAATCGGGAATGTCGCTTATGATGTCAGCAATAACTGGAGAAGGTGGCAAGGCAAGTAATACTGTATCTCAAACTGCACTCCAGTCAAATTATGACCAGTCACAAGGTTTGTTTAATCCAGCCGATGTGAATCAGGCGAAGATGAGTTTCGATTTAAACCAACAGATGGGTTTCAGCGCTAATTCGGGCAGTGCTATGTTCGACCCAATGAAGACCAGTGTCCTTGTAGGTCAGGATTCTAATCAGTCAACTGTAACGACAAACGCATTCAAGAACTTCTTTGGCGCTGGTGCATTGAACATGATGGATAATTCTATTTTTACCGGAGTGTTTGATGCAAACAAAGTCAATCAGGCGGCTGTCGTAGATACTCTTGATGATAAGCAAGTAAATACTTCAACAAAACCTTCCGTCAGTGATAATATGTCAGCATTTTTGGGGATGGGTATTCTTGGGGGTACTGGAGGGTCGACGTTTGGCGGGAGATTTGATCCCTCGGATGTAAATACCGCTGTCTTCAATCCAAATGACGTGAACAGTGTACAAATGAACTTTGATCCTTCTAATATGCTCAATCGTAATCCTGGGTACGATTTAGCAAAGACGACTGAAACTAATTTCGACCCAACAAAAATAAATGATATGCACATGAATTTCATGCCGCCTTTTCTACCTGTGGATAAAAACAAGGACATTAACATGACATCTTCTGGTTTTAGTCAGTACAACTCTGAATTCATTCCAGGACAGATATACCTAAGTGGTAATGCTAAGGTGTTCAATCCCAATGAGGTAAATCAGGAAAACATGCACTTTAGTGCACTAGACATATTCAACTCTACCGGTGTTGACGGTTCTGTTGCGGCACAGGGTAGCACGTTCTTTAATCTACAACTGCCAAATAAGAATTCAAACATTCCCATGCCTGTGTTCGATCCAGTGGCAGTAAACAACATGCAAATGAATTTCGTTCCCAGCTCCGCTTTGAATACTTATGAAGCTTCCTTGACGGAGAAATCCACAGTGACAGAATCGACAGCGTCCATGTCCACTCCACCACCTCCAACTACTACAAATAGCCCGACAAAAATCACCTCAGTGCCTGCATCCACTCCAAACTCAACCAACCTGCACATCTAGAAACCCCACCGAAGAACGTATTCATTGCATTGAAAATAAAACAAGTATGATGGTATCCGAATGATTATTTGTTATCTTTTAATTGAGAGCTATGCTTCTTATTTTGTCACTGTCTTATATGAACATTAAACAGGATATATTACCTGGATTTTAAGTGAAGCATTATGGCTATGTTTTTGATGGGGCGGCGTCTTAGCCATAATTTTGCTTATTTTGTCTGTAATGAAAGTAATGATATAGTACGAGGAGCAATTATATTATTTCGTTGAATCACTTAAGATTAAGTAAATATTTGGTATTCGTAATATGGCAGGGGAGATATTTCATGGAAATCCTAGAGAAAACACAATGCACCAATAAATAGTAACAATCCTGATCTGTTACACATATTTACAAACAGAAAAAGTTTCGATATGTGACACACGAACGACACAGCAGATCATTGCCCTTCTGATAATTATTTATATAAGCATTCACCTGTTTTCTGATGTGATTTTTGACAAAATTAACGATACCCACTACATTGCAAACTAATTAGAAAAATAAAAAATATGACTGCGAGTTACATGAAATTTTCCTGCAGTGCAGTATCCGTTCTTTCTTGAATCTTGTATGAATTTAAGACAAGTAACCAACGGCGAAATATTTACAATGGCGATCGCATCCCATAGAGGCATATTAAACATATGGTGACAATTATCACAAAAGGTATAATCAACGTGCAGTAAATTAATTGATATTTGGCATTGCTTAGTATAACCCAGTGCTCTGCGAAGTGCTCCTGTCCGTATGTTGCACGAGTCATAAGATAATCTAAGGGGAGTGGACGGCCAGCGCCAGTAAGCGTGTTTTTAATTTCGAAGTTGGTGACAATCCCGTAGCTGTGTATTAGAGTATTATCTTGTGTGGTCGATTGTAATTTTTAATTCTTTAAGCAGTTTTATATTTCTTACGTATGTAAGTGATCTTCGGTCTTACGATAAAGTTGAAATGACCGTGAACACTTACTACTATTCTTAATACCGCTGTGATATGTGTTACATAAGGCACACCTAGAAACGAACCACTATTCAGGTGTGAAGGTCGGCAGATGTCCACTTACTGGATTTAGATATTTCTGTCCAACAGAATAATGGTCAGTAGTGATAGGTGAGGTCAGCCTTTCATTCACGATAACAAAGAGCGGCGTCATGCCTAAGATAATCCTCCACACACCCTTTATATCTGTCATCTGCATGTATTGTCTCTGATCCGTTGTTACAATCGCAATCTTGAAAGATTAGAACATCATGAAGTGGTTTTCCCTTCTTTTCGTTATAACCCTCCTTCAGGGGGGATTAGGGAGGAGCTATGAAGGTAAGAGTGAGTGAAGAATTAGGGCTATTACTAGGGTATAAATACCGATGATGATTTAATATGTGCCTTTTGTTACAGCAAATCTATTTTAATTCACATATGGAATGTGTTGCACAAAGTGTGAAAATTAATTATGTGGCGACAGTCAAAATTGGAATTTCATGATGAACTCCTGAAAATTCAGAAACTTCTTTCTCGTCTTGCACGTTTCTTTCAAATGATATGTTTACCAATTTTTTCTAAATTTGATAACTCGTAGATGAATCACATCAGAACACGGTATCCTGCTGGAAGAGTAGTATCGAGTATTTATTAATCTTTCTTCCCTCAAACGTATATACTTTTCCTGGAATCTTTGCTTATATATTTGAAGGTTTTAACTTAAATACAACGGCAAATATTGGACTTTCTTGAATATTGCATAAGCTTGTGTAACGAACGCATGAGGAATGATGACGAAAGTAATAACGAGGCGATGCATACTCGTTCTTCTTTTTCATTTTAATGTGCATCATAAAATGGTATTTCAAATAACGAAATGATATATTATTTCACAACGGTGACATGGTGTAGGATGAAAAGCTACATCCTCACTTGAGTTTCAGGCACCGTAAATTTATCTTCAAATTGGAACGATTTCACATAAACAGCGTACGGCCAACAAAATATGTTTTCCAATGATGTACGGAATAGACACACTCCTATCACTGTTATGTGCTTCGCATTCATTCTATTATCTTCGAATAATGTTATCATATTTTTAAAAAAATCCCTACAAAATTTATCATCGTGAAATGCAAGTTTTCAGTCTCCTTCAATAGGACACCGGAGACAGACTTCCGGTTCTGGAGCAACTTCCGGTTTCTTAGGATTAAATCCTGCAAACATCGGTAGCATGACTGGTGTGGGCGCTATGAATCCTTTCGCTGCCCAAACTCAGATGAATAATGCTGGTTTTCAAAGTGTCTCTTCATCTTCCTCTCTTACGTCAGCATCCTCTGGAAATAATACTAACTCCAATCCCTTGTCAGGGCCATCTGGAATGCCAAACCCCTTTAACCCCCAGGCCTCGGCTGGACAACAGAGCACTGCAGGGTACTCAGGCCAAGCAAACCCTGCAGGCAATCCAATGCAGTCTGGAAATCCAATGAATATGAATCCTTTTGGAAGTAGCTCTAATGTATCTTCCAATTCAACAAGCCAATCCATGACAAACTCTCCATCAAATATGAATCCATTCGGTGCAAGTCAAATGGCCTCAGTTGGTTTCTCATCTACCTTTGATCCGAACAAAATTAATGGCATGCTATTCTCGTCATTGGTCGGACGGAGAACACTAGGTCAGTAAAAACTGCAAAAATGATAGAAACACATACTGCTAATTATGACTGATCCAGTAAAACAGTATTCGTTACTCTTACTATCATGCTGCTGTCCTTTCAGTTAAACGACAATCCTCCGGAGGATCTTCTTCAATTCCTAATTACGATCCTAATGCGGTCAATCAACTGACTTCAAGTTTCTTAGACCCTTCAAAGTCAAAACTCGGGGCAGGTGGCGCAACCGGTGGTATGTACAACCCTGACCAATGGAACACCATCAGCTTCAACATGTTCAACCCCCAGTCTCAGCTCGGCAGACGTCGTAAGTGAGATTATATATATATATATATCTCAGATCTATACACGGTACACTAAGTTCTAGTAACCAACTCAAATAATATCTGTTTTCATTGGAAAGGTAATTGTTGGATGTACGAGCATCTAATGAGAATATCTTACTTTTAACTCCCGAAGTTTGCCGTACCATGCATGCTACGGTTTAGATCATTCGAATGGTGGTACGGTTCAGAATGTATACCTGTACATGAAATATATGAAAATAAAAATATCTACCGAAGTATGTGGCTAGTGCACTTCCCACTTGGAATTTGATATTCCTTTAGATCATTTTTGCCTTTCACTAGCCGCCTCCTAGATTCAAAAATAGTATAGACCTTAGCATCAATGACGGGTCATAATTGAACGCAACTGTACCTGGTAATTTAAATACCTTTTATGTACCTAGTTATTTTATAAAGAAATGTTTGTCTTTTTTACAATATATTATGAAATAGCAACACACAATTTGTCCCGGTCACAATCGTATCACCAAAAATAAACTGTAACCATTAAATTTCCCCATTGACTGTTTTCAGAAATAAGAAATACCACCCATTGTAAACAAGAATAAGAATGCTTTGCTACTTAGTTGTCACTATGTTTGTTTGTTTACAGGTCTGACAAGACAGGCTACAATCCCTAATTACGACCCTAACGCAGTCAATCAGCTGACTTCAAGTTTCTTAGACCCTTCCACCTCCAAGCTCGGGGCAGGTGGCGCAACCGGTGGAATGTACAACCCTGACCAATGGAACACCATCAGCTTCAACATGTTCGATCCCCAGTCCCAGCTCGGCAGACGTTGTATGTTTAGACTTTAAGATTGTAATGAATTGTTGTAATTGGAGTGACAATCACGAGCACATTGTTTTAACGGTTAAATGCACAGTTTGTATGTTCATTATTTAAGATTAATATCCATTGCAGTATTTGTTATAAGTTTAAGGTAATTAGCTGATCCAAAAGCTGCATTACGGCAGAAGATATGTTTGTTTTTAGATATCAAAAGACAAACTGCACAAGGACCAAGCATGAGTGGAACCTCGTCACCTGCTGCTGTACCATCTTCTGGAGGGTCTAGTTCCAGTGGATCCAGTCAGACCAGTGGATCAAGCGCAACCGGTGGATCTAGTCAGCCAGGAGGAGCCAGTCAAACCAGTGGATCTAGTCAGCCAGGAGGAGCCAGTCAGACCGGTGGATCTAGTCAGCCAGGAGGAGCCAGTCAAACCGGCGGATCTAGTCAAACATCTGGTGCATCACAGATGACACAGCCTGGTATGTTTACTAACCCTGGTGCATTTACAATGGGAGGAGGGTCACCCTCCTCGGCTATGTCTTCAGGTAGCAGTGGAGGAAGCAGCAGTAGTGGGAGCGGAAGTAGTGGATCATCCAGTTCCAGTTCTATACCGTCGTTTGATCCAAACAAGTTAAATCAAATCCAAGTCAGCTTCCTTGATCCCTCAAAAGCTCAACTAGGACAAGGAGGCGGAGGTGGTTCTGGCTTTAATCCGGATCAGATCAACAGCCAGGTTTTCAATTTCTTCAATCCTAACCTCATGATGGGTGGAGGCGGACGATAAGGTAAATTGTAATATGTCATGTATCAAAATAATCACCAGAGATTATCATTCCACCTACAGTTGTCATTTCCAAGCATATTGTCTTTGATTCATAGATTTAAGAATTTACCCCTTTACATTATCATTATAACGGCAGTGATATAAAAGATTGACAATCTGTTAGAAAGAAAATGAAATACTTTTAAGCTGAATAATTATATTTCATTTTCATAAAACTGTTGTTTCAGTGTAGACAGCAGCAGACAGACGAGCAGAAACTTGTTTTGTTTTTGTTTTCTGTTTTTTAAGTTTTTGTTGTTGTTGAAACATTTAAAATAAATTCTGAAACCATCCCAAAAGTTGTTGTATTATTGATACATCGAACACTGAAATGGAAGTTGACCAAGTTACCCAACACAACATTATAAATCGCGTCCCCAATGAAAGCCAGGTACAACATTGTTGATGTTGCATATTTTCGTGGAAGGAATGAAATGCGTCGTTAAAGAATTAATGTGTGAGCGCAACACAAATAGGTGGCGTTTTTGTACAACAATAATTTTGTGATTAACAAACATTTGTAGACATTTTGAAAATGCAAATATAAAGCACACTTAAGAAAATCCATATGCACACTGTATGTTAGTGCACCTCCCCTTCTAGATTTTGGCTCTTATGTCCTAGAAGGAGAAACAAGTATTTAATGTACTTTAATTCTAAGTCTAAATTTGTATTGAAATATGTTATTTACTTGCATGTCTTTTGTAAAATCTTCACTCACTCATACATACGCACGCGCGCCCATGCATGCACGCAAACACGCAAACACACATACACACGATTTCAGAAATAAAAAAAAAATGTTACAAAGATATCATTCAGTAACTAAAATAATCTGAAATTTCAGAACATGACGAATGATAACAAGTATATAGTCGGAGATGTAGAATCAACAATATAGATGATCTGTTGATAATTATCTGACTAACCAAGGGAATACCATTACATACACAGCTTCACCTTTGTACTTATGATCTATTGTCAGTGGGACGCAATCAACACGCACTGATCCAATAACTGTCAGAATCAATCTTTACTGTTACACACAGGCTTGTAAATTGATATTTCATCAAATGTGTCCCTATTGTTTATCATACCTAATACTCGTAATGAGTGCTTGTTTGTTCAAACATAGACGACGTCCATGTCAGATGTCTTCTAGACACCTACTATAGCAACAGAATTATCTGCAATCTGTGGACATTGCCGATCAAAGCGTCCAATCCTAGTGTTTATAGTTAAGGAAACGCCAAAACAGCCATAATTGGATCTATTCCTACCACAATGGTACGTATACAACACTTCTTAAGACACTCTATGTATACACTACCTTTTAAAAGTAAACATTCTATTCAAATAGCGTTCTAACATGTTATTATAAGTTTCATTGTCCTCACATTTAAAACCCAATAGGTAACACATGGTATTCTCCAAATAAGTTGAACCCGTTTTCAATACTAGCGAAGTATGACATATTGTTACCACTGTAGATAGTTCAGGGCTATTTTGATCACAGTAAAACTTTGGGCACGGTCGTTTGGAAAGGATAAAAATGGCAATGAGTATCATAAAGAAAAGTACATTTTCTACGACAAAGAAAATGAGTTTCTTCCGGAAGTCTTCTAGCAATGGATCGGAGTATTCGGACCCTGAATTCCGTGTTCCAAGCAAGGTCAGGAGAAAAATGAAATCTACATTCAGGTCACATATAAAGAAAACGAGTCTGTAATGATTGGTGTGTATGTTCGATATATGTTAAGTAATTATCTAAATAATTAGATGTAAAATATTTTTTGGAATAATAACATGCATACTGTCTATGTATAATTACCTTTAAAAACTTAGTTAAAGATCTGTCAACTATATATATATATATATATATTGTTAACAATGGGCTGGCAAGGACGACGATATCACGTCCTTTCATGATATATTGCACTTCCTATCTAAATATGGTAAACTTCCATAAACTTATATCGTCCTCTTATAGGAGATCCACATGATACATACATGCGTGTACGAATTAATATCTTCATCGAGAAAAAAACCGACGACCGATGTATGTCTTTCTCAGTCGCCTTCTAGACTTCTTATTTTGTGTTTACCATCACTGACGAGTCCTAGAAAGACGAAACAGCTGTACGATGCAGTTTGGTTCATTGTTTAGCTCTACTGTATCTTATTTGTATCAAAAAGTGTTTTTTATTAGTGAGTCATTTGTACGATATTTCGTGTTATAATGCCAATAAGTTTGATCTAGCTTCAAACACCATATGTGTATAAGAAAATATCATACTGGTAAATTACCCTGATGGGTGATGCCATGTATAATACCTGCTACCTGTCATCGAAGTCCTAAACTATAGTCCAGCGTCTTCTAACAACCGCCACTTGTGTATTGTTATATCAAATTCATGTTTATGTGATACTGTCATTTCAGAAATAGCTTAATAATGTTGTGATGAATTCATCCTTAATTGTTATCGTTATTTTAGTTTTACAGATATCGATATGAATCTCTTAATTCGGCGTAAAAGTTAGGATTATCATCATTTGTATACACCCCTACATACAACAACAAAAAATACTAAGGAATTTTCTGTAATTCTGACATTTTGAACTATAATATCATTATGAAATGACCCTAAATATTATATCAGATCTATGGACGTCGCTTTGTATCGTTTACCTGGAATACTGAAAAAGTTTTTTAAAAGCATTATATAAAATTACCTAAAACTCGGCTTTTTTTCCTATGATAAAAATATTAATAAGAAATCAATATGTAGATAGATCAGAGACCGGGGACAAGTATATACAACAGACGATAGTCGTCCTGAATCTTACATTATCAAATCAGAAATATTAATATATATATATTATGCTTTACGACCCTGACCGAGCTCACTTTGATTTATTCGCAATAGCCGACATGCATTATACGCATGTAATTAAACAATAATATGTAGAGGATGTTAACCTTGTAGTACGCTGCATATGATTAGTGTACATTTAGTCCCCGAGGTTCGTCGTGTCTTCGTGTCCCAACGTTTATATACAATTGAGCAGTATCATTGGTAACAACTATTATTTTATTCACATTAATGTAGTCAATGCTTTGACGGCATGTCAAACACATCCAAAGGTTGTCTCTACTTTGTGGTATTGTCTTCTGATAATTAACACAAAAGAACGATCTTGATTTCCCTTTTTTATCAAGAAGACTTAAGTAGTACATCAAGAAAGCATCTATAATGCTATAATCAACTGGACATTGTAGTTGGTACTCGGTACTATCAACAGTATGTTGACAATTGCTTAACAATGAGACTTAATTAAGGATGTATGTAACTCTATTGATACACAAAGATTTAAGGGTGTATGTCACGTTATTTTAAAGCGATTAAAATAGGACAAAGGAACTAGGTGATCATGTGTAGTAACACTGTCTCCATTTCAGGTCCATCAGCTGACCAAAGAACAAATATCAGGTATGTTATATGTACACAGCAGAGATATTACATGGAACAACACTATAAACATTGTAGATGATAAAGGATATATGTAGTAAGAAGATAACAGAGTGCCCAAGACGTTTAAGTATGATGTACTTATTTCTATTTCGTCTAAGAACCTTTGTGATGTTACAGTGAAGTTATCATTTCCAGTAGTATTACGAATTGTTGAAATCTTAACATGATACAATAATTAAACGTTTACGAATACTTTCGATACATAGATATATGGGACTGCTTGTGACATTTTCACTTATTGCATCATTAAGAAATGTTCGTTCGTTTATGAATGCAGACTTTAAGGAGACTTTCCTCCTGTTCGACCATGATGGTGACGGAACTATAACAACTAAGGAACTCGGTCACGTGATGCGATCTCTAGGTCAGAACCCTACTGATGCCGAGATCAGTGATATGATATCATTAGTGGACAATGACGGTGAGACACCTGGATTCATGTTTCCTTTTCTATTACTTAATTCACATTTCCACGAATTTCTACGCAGTTTTACATCCAATATACTATTGCCATACTGGAGTACCATATCATTATTAAAAAGGCTTACATTACCAAATCATTGTTTTTATCAGGAAACGGTTCGATAGATTTCGATGAGTTTCTCCATCTTGTTGCTAAGAGGTTACAAGAAGCAGACATAGAGACTGGTCTGGTAGAAGCGTTTCGCCTGTTTGATAAAGATGGCAATGGTTTCCTCACTGCCAATGAGCTGCAGAGCGTTGTAGCCACATCTGGAGAAGTTCTTACCGACTCAGAAGTCAATATGTTAATGAGTGAAGCGGACATTAATAACGACGGGAAAATAAACTATAAAGGTATGAATTGAAGTAGTAATGTAGATATGTGACGTGACAGTTCACCGACTTGATGAGTATAGTGGCTGATTATGGCGACTTTTCTCCTCCACCAAATCTGGTTAATTCATCAAATAGCAATCAGGTTGTGCCATATTTCTTAGCGGTGTGACTGTATCATATATGAAAAAAACCCATAGAATCTATCTATGAAATGACAACCATTTTAATATTGTATAGCAAACTTTGGTTCAATAGCTTGTTTTCACAGAAGTCGAACATTTATCCAAGTAGTAATTTACAACACATTTGAAAATATCACTTATCTTGAAGCACACAATCATTATCTTCTCTATGTGGAATTACATCAGTCGATGCCGTATCATCGTTATCGTCTATCACACAGGACGGTATTATGAGTAATAAAGTAACTTCATGGAATAAAAAATGTTTTACAATGTCGCATGTCACTGATCTTATTACATACTGCCTTAGTTATCATACACATAATGTAAATAATGTTTCCTTTCTTCCAGAGTTTGTCAAGTTGATGACGGGAAAATGATGTTTCTTCAGGCAAGATATCCTTGTGTTTTGTCATTACAATAAAGAACACTGTAAAATCTACCGTTACTCGTTCATCAACAAGTTGTCAGAACGTTTTGTTTTGTTTCTGTATCCTGTAAGTAATATGTAACAGTTGGTTTTTGTGATGACGATTTCTACATTCGAGAATTACAGACCTGTTGTATACTTTATGGCTCTGATAAAAAAAGCTCTGAGTGTAGATATTCTGGAAGGTTATGAAGAAATCCAAAAGTGCCTACGGGTTACCAGCGTCCAAAAATAATAAGACACAATTAAATCGCTCTGAAAAGTCGTTACGTTTCTGAATGAAAAAGGAATATAATACCTAAAACACAAGTTGTTTATTACTTCTTTAATGAGCACTGAGGATTCAATTTCAAATGGAGCGCTACAACAGCTTCCACCGTCAACTACATCTGCCAAAGTCGCACTCAAAAAATACAGCATACGTAGAGAAACATGTCTTTGGTTCAACTACAGGATTGTTTTGGTCAGGCTGTATCAACCAGATATTGTTTGCACATACGTCATCATCTGGTCGTTCATCATTGATTCGAACATTATCCATAAAGCAACTTTATTATAGGAAAGAACTCATGACGACGTCCCATATGTGGAGAGAGTAACAACATTCATTTGGACAGTATCAAAGATGTATGTTGTATAACGATAAAAATAGCCGCCTTAAAGCTATGATAAAAAGATACATATTTGAACAGAAATAAATGTTGAATAGATCAATTATCAGCTGTGTCCTCTACCTTCACACGTTGGTCAACAATGATTTTTTTTTTTATTTTCTTCTGGTGGAAAAACAGTATCGTTAGTTTTAGGTGAAAACCTTTTAAGTGATTTTATCCACTAAAACACAACTAAAAAGGATATTTCTTCGTTTATAAGATTATCATATTTTAAGTTTAGCCTGTAAATACGATTTCTGGATCCATCTACTTCCTGATTGTGTAACACTAATTTTATTTCTGCTGATTTTCAATTTGGAAAGTTGGAAGTCCTTCAGAAATCACGCTGAACACTCCTATCGCCATGTGACATGTATACATGACGAACATTAGAGGAAAGATAAGAAGACCCATATCTGTTAGAGGTCACAAGGCTCCTTAACACAAGTACCGAACAATTAAACATGAAGTCACTTGATCATAAAGCTTTATATTCGTTTATAATGCTCAACGTTTCGGTTTTTAAAAGGTCAGATATATCTCACTCTATGGGAACAATCTTCTCGCTGAATTTTCAATATCTTCACCCCGAGTTCCAATATTCTATTATTCTTTACGTAAAGGAGATCTAGTGTTGTTACAAACATACCAGATAATGGCGACATTACTACTATTACTAGTCATTAATATTCAAAACAGGATTTGAATTAAACAATATGACGATATATTTGTGTTTTCTTTTCTTTTCTTTGCTTTAATCCTTGAAATGAAGATAAGTTAAGCTGGTACATCCCTCATATTATCAAAACAGGTTAAATGTTCATATCTGTCTAATCCGATAAGTTAAATGAGCATAACGGATCGCCATATTACGCCATATCCTTCATATCGTCGGAAAACAAGACAATCCGGCAAAATCTGTCAATAGAGGGTCAATATGTTCATAATTGGACCGATGGTCAGGCAATACGGACATGCAGTTGACAGCACAAAAGACACGTATTAAGATAAAAAAAAAGTCCTGTCCTAGATAAGTAATTCGGAACATTGTTTTGAGCCATTTCATTACGTGTTTTAGATATATAGTATTCGGTGATATATGTTTCAGCGTGTTAAATAGAGGTTGTGTGATATTCCATTTCCTACTATATACGTAAATACATTTCCATTGCTAACACTGAATACCTAAAATTCAAGCGATCCCATGGAAGAACATGCGAAATATGCTCAAGCACTGCTATATGATACAAATTCATAACAAATATAACCTCAATAACATTCTATAACATAACTGCTATAGATTTGTCATTAAATACATAACGTCTGTACATGAGCTGATTACTACCAAAATAACATGTTAAAGTATACACATACTTGTGCGTGACCAAGTTTAATGGAGAGTGACCATCGCATGTCTACGATAGCCAGGGCATTCACGATAACAACTAACCGAAATCCGAAAGTTCAGGAGTGTTGTAAGAACCATGCAGACTTGGATGCTAATAATTCTTGTTATGGTGGAAATTCAGCCACCACTGACTGGAGGATCTGAAACATACGGTAAGTTCTCATGTGTATTTGAAGGATTGCACAAGTGGATTATTTTGTATATATTTTGGATCTGAAACAATCACAACAGATTTCTTGAATATGAATGCGGGTATCGGAATTTTAACATCACTATCTTACATTGTTAAGAGGCACTAAATGTTCGATCTGTTGAATTTTATATATAGCCAACCAACAATTTTTATTCTGATGGAATTGTATACTATGTAAATATTTGTAAAGATGAACTACAAAAGAACTATAAGAAAATCGATTACACTAAAAAGTTTTGTTCTATATAAGGACATATTCACGAATTAAACCTTAATATCGATTTCTGTCATGTGTAAATCAAAGAAAATATTAGCATAAAACCATTAATGATGGTAATCACTTGGTGAAGAAAAATGTGAATAAAATAGTCGTCATTTCAGGGAAGTGTTTGAGTTCACCACAATTAATCAATACAATATTCAAAACATTGCAGATGACATACTACATAAATTCTTACGCAGAGACATGTTCAACCCTAATGCTATGATGGGGAGCTCTTCATCTTTGTTTAACCCGAACGCCATGATGGCCGGTGTTTCTTCAGGTTCTAGTGGGACACAATCGGCCAACAGCCAGTATTATGGAAGTTTTAACCCTAACAGTCTAATGGGAGGTATGGGAAGTAACATGTTTAACCCTAATAATGTCAACGGAATGAGTGGTTCAGGGTCGTCACAACAACAATCAAGTAGTGCAGGACAATCTGCAAGTACAGGTCAGTCCTCGGGGGGACAAACTAGTTCTGCTTCTTTTAATCCGAACCAGATGAATCAAAATCAAGGTTCTATGTTCAACCCTAATGGAATGAGTGGATCACAATCAAGTGCCTCCACTTCCAGTTCAAATTTAAATCCCATCACCGGAAGTGGATCATCGTCAACAGGATCGCCATTTTCGTCCTCTCAATCGTCTCCACAGACTTCAGGATCTTCGACCGGAAGTCAACCTGGACAACAAGGTTCCTTTGGGACATCTGCAAATAGTTTTGGGGGTTCTCAGTCAAGTGGATCCTCCGGAAGTTCCTCTAGCACGTTTGGAAATTCCCAATTAGGTGGTTCATCTGGAAGTTCTTCAGGTGCAAGCACGTTTGGAAATTCCCAGATCAGTGGATCACCACAAAGTGCCGGCAATGCTAATTCTTTCGGAAAACCCTCGCAGAACAGCCAAGGAATCAGTCAGACTTCTTCTGGTCAGTCACCGTCAACATCGTTTGATCCTAATCAAGTCAATTCAAACGTGGGACAAGCACAATCAAGTAGCGGGGGAAATACCGGTGTTTCATCTTCCACCAACAGTATGACACCAGGCTCTAGTAGCGGTGGGTCATCAGGTTCGTTTATACCCAGTTATGATCCCAATAACATTATTAACACTGGCGGAAAGTATGATCCCAACGCTGCTAACTCGGGTGCTGGAACTGGAGGAAATGCACCGTCTTTCTCCAAAGGTCAAGGATTCAACCCACAACAGCAAAGTATTGGAGGTTCCACTTCCGGCTCATCTTCGGGGTCACAGTCGAGCCAGTCTCAACCTCAATCTGGTCAGCAGGCTCAGTCACCAAGTGGTAGTCAGTCGTCTTCTACTTCAGGTGGAAGCTCTGGATCATTTGACCCGGTCGCAACCAACTCACTGGCTACATCTGGATTCAATCCACTTAATCCATTAATTGGTAAAAAAATACAGATCATAATCAAATTGTTCATAGAACAATTAAAGAATGAATTTAAATGCTATTTACAAAATACTCAAAACATGTCTTTCCTTCAAACATTTTGTCAATTTTTCTGAATATTAAAGGTGCCGATTTGAACAAGTACATGGGGCCTCAAAGCAGCAATGGTACGTATCAGACACCACAGAGAGTTACCACCACATAAACATATATAAATATTTTAAAATCTTAATAGATATGAACGTTTTTCACATAAGTCTAATAAAATATCCAATAACATGAAATAGATATGACGGAAGTTTTCATTCTAAACGCAAAAATGATAACGCACGCTTCTGCTTGGTCGGTTGGGACAGGTTTTCCATCTCTGTGTCTGTTTCTATCTCTAGGCGTTGTCTCTCTGACGAATGTAAGTGTTCTGGCGACGTGTTCATATAATAATGTTTTAGCTAGAAATAATTCCTATTTATAGGAGGAGGTAGCAACACCGGTTCTTTCAACGCTGGATCTGTAAATATGCAGATGGCACAACAAGGAACCAGTCTGAACATGTTTGGAGGTAAGGTCCTGAAGTATGAGATGCAGCAATATCTAGTTAATTCAATATTTTATCATAGTCCTTAAAATTGGATAGCAGTCCAGTTCCTAAGTTTTCTTCTACTAGATTATTACATATTTATAGCTTGAATTTAGGGCCACTATCACCATATATACATTGGATATGACATTAATAAGAAGAACAATATAAAATTCTGCAAAGTAAGAGATGGTATCACGTATCTTAAATATGGATGTCTTACATGAGTTACGAGTATTTATACAACCGTTAAGGCGCGTCAGCACCTGCAAACGGCGGAAAACTGGATGCCAGTGCAGTAATGAGTGGAGCATCCGGTATGAGTGGGGGACAAAGTATGGGTTCCAGTAGCGGGTCTAGTGGCTCCATGTTCAATCCAATGATGGCAGGGGGTTCATCTGGAGGAAGTTCAAGTGGTTCGATGTTCAACCCGAGCGCAATGATGGGTGGAGGTTCATCTGGAGGAAGTTCAACTGGTTCGATGTTCAATCCGAGTGCCATGATGGGAGGAGGTGTGTCCTCCGGGTCAGGAAATAGACAGTCGTCAGGTGAATTTATTATGGTATTTACTCATTGTGCATGTGGCACGAAACAAGTTGAGAAGGAGCTTTTTAATCACGCTTTGGTACCGACCTAATCGATCGTTTCACGCATATCAATACCGCTCAAGAGAGATAGCACTTCCGGTCAAACATACATGCATTTTTCGTTTCATAGGGAAATTGACGAAAAGATTATCATTGTACCGAAATTTAAATTATGTGGTTTGTTTATATTCTTACTCGTAGTTCATCCAACCCATTTCTTGTTTTCCGGAATGTTTGCTTTGTCTGCTTGGGTGATGGCGCATAGCTTATTGCTCAGGTTTGAGATTAAATTGCACATGCTGTGTTACACAAGATAATATCTTCCTTTCCACGACTTACATTGATCCGCGAAATGGAGTGCAGGGACCACAGGCAACTCCCCTTTAGATCCTCTGGGAGCCATGAGCGGTAAGACATCAAATACTAAATAGCAATATCGAATCATAAAAAATCTGAGAAATCTCAATAATAGCTTATTGGAATTTATCAGTTAAAGGTCCAATAATTTTAAAGGAAAACGAACTTTAACTCCCTTATTTTCTTTACTTACTTTACACACTCTCAGGCGGTGCAATTGGTTTCTCAGGGGGACATGACTTAGTGGACCCGATGGGATTCATGAATGGTATGATTTAAATGTAACAGCAAATTGCTTCACATCAATGTTTAACAATGCCGTTTAGCGAAAGCCACTATATGGTGCCAGAACCAATATATTTAACTAGCGAGGTATCATGTTTTGCTTTAAAGTGAAGGAATGATATAGATTTACTATAAATCTTTCTCATTTATGTTTCGCCAGATTATTTCCATATTTGTCGTTCAGGCGGAAATAGAGAAAGTTAGACACTGGCATTCACTGATATAAACGACATAGCTAACACAGCAACATTCAATAAAAATCTATCTAAAAGATAATATCGTAACCATTACATTGTCATTACAGGAGGAGGTCTTTCTGTTCGCAATAAGTAATCAGGGCGTTGGTAAGAAATAAAGATTTAACAGTAGGTGTTTAGTTAGCAAAAAAAGCAGCTGGGGTCAACCAACAATATATGTATGAAATATTAAATCAAACTAATGCTGCAGATACATGTTTGCTTATTTTTACACTTTAATATTTACCTGGTATTTGCGCCCTTCCTCTTATGAGCTGCTGTAAGCGTTTGCTTCGCTTTCCTTGACTTTTTGAACAACTTTGTATAACCCTTGGGCAAAACCTTTCCGTATAACCTGCTATTGTCTTTGCTTCCTGTGTGATCTGGAGATGGTAAAATTTATGTTAGCAATACATGACTGTTAGTTCATCTGTGGATAGTCGCCAAGACAACCTGGACGGATGAATTAAAGTATAACATTTAAGTGATATACAGTACCTCTACGATCATGTGTTTTTCATGGTTTTCTAGTTAATTTTTTCTATATGATTTCAGTTGGTCTAAAATTGTTTTCCATCCAGACTTACGCGTCTTGTTTACATCATTCTATCATTATTTAATTATCATTGCAAGTATCCTTTGATGTAAAACGCTATGCAGGTAATCTTCAATACAGAATTTAAACATCAATAAAAACGCTGAAACGAAATATGTTGTTTCCAAATTATAGCTTAATAGTTTCATAAGTATTTGTTTAAGTTTTCATGACATCAAGTATACATTTACAGAAATATAAATGCCACTTCCTTATATAATATCAGTTTTAGTTTACATCTGATGTCCTCGATTTTACTCGCATGAATTCAAAATAAATTAAATATCCGAGAATTATGCTTAAAACTAATCCTACATTTCAGCTGTTGCAGGTGTTACTGCTTGTCTCGGACAGAACGATATCATGGGATTTTCTCTACTTCACCTATGCTGATAACTTTCCAGTATCTGTTCGTACCGAATCCTGCATGATAAACTGCTATTCTAACTGATAATATCCCTTCCCACATGCACGACCAGGTTGATAACGGCCAATACTTATTTCACACATCTCCTTATTTCTGAATATAACACAATGTCGATTCTCGTTCGTGTATTTTTTTACGTGGTGTATCTTTCTGTTTTAGGTCGGAGGTCTAGTTTGACACTTCCCTGTAAGTAGACTGGTCATTTTATTAATCTACTTTATTTAGTGAAGAATCTCTCTTCTTTGTGATGTTTCACATTCGCAAAATGTGATATATCGATTCCTATTGTGACAGATGTGGTACTATATCAACTTAATTTGGAGCTCTTTACAAATAGTACTGTAAATCTCGTTATTCTGAGGGGTTTCGCTTTTTCCTCATTCTGAATCACGAAAAAAAATCACCATGGACATGAAATCAGAAGAGGAAAACATAGACCGTCTATAATTTCAGGTCTTCTTTACCGACAAGATTTTGGTTAAACTGCAAAAATTTGAACCGCCGAAAAGCATCTTGATTTTAAACAGTACAAGTAATGCTGTACAATGTGAGATTTGTTAACTATCAAATGTTGAATATATATCTTGACCTGAACAATATCTTGACCTGAACAATATCTTAATTCTGCCACGAAAACAGTAAAAATAGTACTGTACGACAGAAGATTTATATATGATGGAGTTTTAGATATACATCCTCGACAACATTCCGACATGATTAGTTTCAAGTTCCACAACTTAAGTTTGGACCTTCCTCTTCATTTTCATCGCGCTATACAGTATTGAATTGTAACTTGTCCATCAAATTAATTTGCATAGGACAACCGTCTTATCAACGATAGTTGATTTTTATTGAATATTAGTATGAACTGAAAAAGTCCTCGAGATTGGTTGACGAATAATAGACACAACGGATGAATTAGAGCTTATGAAAACGGTACTTATGAACGTTTTCTCCACCATTATGTTACTACTTATCTAAATTATTTGTTATGATATTGATATTTTCAGTAAGCCAACAAGAGACAAGTCGCCGCCATGTTCGAGCTACATCCCAGGACAAGCCAGCATGGAGCAACACTGTGTTCGAGCCTTTCAACACTCAGGATATGAAGTCAGGTGATGGAAACTTGCTACTCCGATTGCTTATTGTTTTGTCAATCCCAGAATAAACATAAACATTTTAAGAGGCTGCGCATGTTAGTTTTTCAGAGCTAGAGAAGCAGGTCATATAAAATCTCAGTAAAGTATGGTGAGAGATTAACACACGCGAAAGTAGGACATCAATACACGGAATGACAAGAAACAGTACAGAGGAATCAAAATCAAAAGCATACCGTAAGAGTCTCGCATTTATATCACACACGACGTGAGACAAAACCATTTAATTATGAACGTAGAGAATCCCGTAGTTACTTATTTTCATCCAGATCATCCTAATGATATGTGACAAGTCATGACTGAAGATTTTTTTCTATTTGTAAATTTGTCAAATAACCCTGATAGCTGATGTATGTAATAAGATGGTTAGATCTAGATCATAATATATTAACATTGAAAAAATATATTTATAAGACTGCTACACTGTAGGAAAATCAAGACACTGCAGTTGCGCAGCTGCGAAGAAGAGATCGACTTTCAAACTTAAATTTGTTTCAGAATGTTATCCTATATAGCTTCTCATTCCGGTGAGGTATTTATTCATAAAAAAGCAAACGTAGAGGGACGAACTTACGTCAGATGGTCGACGATTTTCATATCGACAAAACAGTATCTTAGGTATAGATGTATATCTCATGTGTGCAAATACACCGAGCCACTTTCCAAAGAACAGTTGCTACCAGTTAGCACATGTTTTGTACAATTAAGTACATAGTTACAAGGGTTTTTTTTATTGGCATGCGAAAGACATTTTAGTAGGAGAGTTATTAACATTATTAACACTGGAATACAAGACCGTCCGAAATTACTTAAATTGTGTATACAGCAGTTACTTTATAATAAATCAAAATATCTTAATCAAAATATACAAACGCAAGATCACAGCTTTTATTTACATAAATGAGATATTTTGTAGTGAGGAAAAATCAGAGCCATATAATGTTGATTATATTATATGTAATCTAATAACGTGTGTACGTAAAAATACACATATCCTGTTCCGATAATACCTCAATTTCACATCTATCCTCTACTGTAAAATCAGTATTTCCTCAGGATTGTTAATCATGATTTTATTCATACATGAGATATAAGCAGATAAAACTGGAATGATTATTTAGTATTAGTGGAATTTGTACTATTTATACACGATGGGTTCCAGTAACGGGTCGAGTGGTTCGGTGTTCAATCTAATGATAGCAGGGGTTCAACTGGAGGCAGTACAAGTGGATCATCAAGTGCCAGCTATACCCATACTTGGCCAGATACCCATCCCAAACTTGGTCAGACACCTATCCCCATACTAGGTCAGACACCCATCCCCATACTTGGCCAGACACTCAACCCCACACTTGCCCAGACACCAATACCCATACCTCGCCAGACACCAATCCTCACATTTGGTCAGACACCCATCCCCATACTTGGTCAGACACCCAACCTACACTTGGCCAGACACTCATACCCATACTTCGCCAGACACCAATCCTCACACTTGGCCAGACACATATCCCCACACTTGCCCAGACACACATCCCCATACTTGGCCAACTTTTTATAACGTTTCTGAGATCATGCAATTGACATCTAGTCCTTTGAATTATGAAACACGTTATAGCATTATCCATCCCCAACAATAACAACATGTATGATACTATACACAGAATGCATCGTTCGCGATACATACGATATAACGTGAGAGACAAATTGTCTGAATGATGAAGTTTGTTTTGTTTTAAAACCATCATCAATCTTCATAAGATAACGGTTCTGTAGAGTGGTGCTATAATATACTTTTTTGAAGTGGGGGTGAAATTCATAGCTGTTATCTTTTTATCTTGCTCTCTGCACGTATTTATAAGTGTATGTTTTTTAAATGTCTAGCTATACAAGACTTCCTACTTTACCTTTAGCTATACAATACGTACCTTTGCTGCTGTTTGTCTCTAACCATGAGATTATCTATATAGGTTAATTATCATATATATTATATATCTTTATAGTGGTTCATTTATAAACACACCACAAACATTTAGTATTGACATGCACACATAAATACTCATGCAGAAACATGCTTACACACAAAAAACACATTCAATATATAATTATGCAAAAACATGCTTCATTTACATAGTTGCATATAATATAATCTATTATGTAGAGAAATGAAAGTAAAGACTGGAAAAATACTAAACGTTGCTAACACAGGAAAGGAGAGATGAGAAGAAGAGGGTTGACTATGTAAGATGTTGAGGGTTGTTTCTAGACTTTGTAGTAGATTTTATACTTCATGGCATCCCCGCATAAGTGAAGTTCATGTTTTTTCTGAAAGTTCTTCGAAGGTATAGAGTAAATTATCTGATCTGAAGGAGTGTGTATTCCTGATTTATACTATGATTGATAGAAGAGTGATTTACCTGCAATAGTAATATTATTGTTAAGCTAAATATTTTGGTTAAAACGTTATCTTTTCTCAAGTTCCCTAATTTCTTTTGATTTATTCAATTTGTACCAAGCTTTAAAACACATCTTTCCAAAAGCTGTTCGTACATATATTACTATTATTTTGATATATTTTCATCACAAATATTCATCAACACATCCTTTCAAAATTCATTTCCATTCCCTATGCAATCCCAGTTTAAGAGCGTCAATAAAAGTATTCTAATTAACCATCATCAATCCGCCATCACCGTATTTTTTAACAACAACGTTTCTTTTGATTTTATCTGTTTTACTATCTATTCCATAAAATGCAAAAAGTAAGGTATTGGTTTCTTGATTTTGGCAGGAATAGAAACAAGTGATTGAACTGGGTTATGAATAATGATTTCAAAATATAAATCTTACCAATAGAAGTTAATTTCTTTTTGTCCATTGCTTAGATTTTTCAATTTTACATTTATTTTTATCAAAATTCAATATGAGAATGTTATTTAATTTCACATCAAATTCAAGTAGATTAAACTGTGGAAGCATTTTATCTCTACTGTATTTCTTGCTACCAATCCAAAGTTTTTAAGCCGGATATGTTTACAGATCTGTTTGTTAATTCAATGAGAGTTTCTTCTCTGATCCATCTAACGTAAAAAAAAATGTAACGTCTGCATATTGAGATGTTACGGTTTCTAAATTCTCTGTCTTAATTCCTTTAAAAGGATTATATTTCCTCCAACAAATAGCTAAAATTTCTGCACACATTATAAAGATATAGGGGGCAATTGAGTCACTTTGACGATAAGACCTTTTAATTTCGATAAAAGTTGGTTAGTTCCCTCCCTGGTTAAATGTAGGTAAAACATTATTAAGTAATGTATTAAACCATCTTAAAATATTATTTACGAAAACGAAAAATAATGTAATATAATTCAGATACAGAGTCAATTTTTTTTCAAAATTAATCATCAAAATCATAACAGGTATATCATTTTCTTCAGTAAATTTTATAATCATATAATAAACGTGTTTTCTCCCCAATATACCTGCAAGATAAAATCCAAGTCTGATCATAACAAATAATTTATTAAGAATATTGTTTATTCTGTATGATATAACCCCTGATGCTATTTTGATACGATATATCAAAAAATGATATTGGACGCCAGGTTTTTTTTAATGTCTTAGTTTATCGCTTTTTGGAAAGCAAGTTATTATTCTGTTTCTGATAGTCCACGTTTAAGAAGCAAATTTTTAGTGATTTTACCAGAAATTTACCAATTATATTGAAAAATTCCATGATGAATCCATCATATCATAGGCTGTCATTTTTCATATTTTTCAATAACATACTCGCTTCATTGAAAGAGGTTTTACGTTCTAGAGACTTTGATTCTGACTTGGTCTGGGTAAGTCATTAAAATTAAGATAAATTTCAAGGTCATTGTCATTTAAGTTTGTCTCATTTTGCCTTGTCTTGTTTAGTGATCATTGTTCTATCATCTTTTTGAATTTTGGGATTTTTGTTGGAGTGAAAATTCTATACGTTGAAAAAGTAACTGGTAGGTTTTCCCCTCCTCTACCTACTTAGCTCTAGATCTTATGATACTTCCTTTTGATTTATGAAGACGAATAGTTTATAGTTTTTTTCCCAATTTACTATCAATTTCACTTAATTCTATATTTTCCCTATTTTCTATATGTTATATGGATTTTATCAACTGATTTTCTCTCAAATGGTTCAGTTTTTTCTTGTAAGGAGGGTAAGAAATTGTTTTACCTCTAATATTCATTATAAGAGTTTCAAGAAATGATCATCAATATTAAACTGTAAATTTTCCTCATATATATCATTGATATTATTGTAATTATAAACAAATGAACTATATTGTATTTTTGTATCAGTAATAGTATCAGTAACTAATTTAACATATTCTGTGTCAAAAAGAAAAGAATTGTTGAACTTCCAGAGACCCTTTCCCTTTTTCAAATTCATTAAATTTATGGGAATGAAACATGTGACTTGTACCTGAATCCAATCCATCATCTGTGGTGATTTTAATCTTGTTCTTAACCCAGATATTGATTATGGGTCCAAAGGCTTAAGTTTTAAGCATTATATTATTCAATTTAATTGACATTTTCGGGGAGTATTATCCTAATCAAAGGAGATACACTTGGAGAAAAGTAAACCCCCTCAAACAAACTAGACTTTTCTTAGTAAGTGATAGTTTACTGACTTAACTTCTTCTGCCATAGACCCCAGCTACAAGTTGACTGTGTAATTTAGTACATTATGGACATTGAATTAATGTACAGCTATGCTTCCTGTTTTCCTTGCGATTGCTGAAGTACTTTGATATATTTTGATTAGGAACACAGTCTAAATACTTTTCTCAGGTACGAGTTGGGTGTCAAAAAGTCCATCAGGGTATTATGCCAAGCAAAATCTCCAGACAAGCCAACATTGCTCTCGTTTAAAAACAATAGTGAAAATTACTACTCGACATATCAACATAATCTTGATACAAAACTCAAATAAAACTGATGCAAACTATGTACAAGAGGCACACTGGCGCTAACCGTTATTTGATTTTTATTGGTTCTTATTTGTTGGAATTTCACCCTCTTTTAGTTCTTTCCTATGATCTCATCCTTCGCAATATGTTGTATTGATAGGTAAATTGATCATATGGTAACATCAATTAACAAGGGAAACCTCCGAATTAGATTTATTAAAAATCTCCCTCTGATGCACAACTACTTACCATGGGAAACACACAGATGAATATAAAAAACAGTCTGTCAAATATTTATCAATTTTTTAAAATCCTATATGGGGCGCTTGTCAGACATTTTTTCAACACATTTCTAATAAAATGGGCATCACTTGGGACCAAGAAAATTCGATGCAGGTCGATTTGATCAGCATACCGTCTGCCAGGCTAGCAAAAGAGATATGTTTACACGGATACTCATTTTAAGGTGTTAAGTATGAGTAAACGCCTTCTTCGTTGATGACACCCGCCAAACATTCTTACAAGTATTACAACCATCCAACTTTGGACCATGCAAAGAAATGGCATATTTCCTAATTAGATCATTGTGAAAACCATTTTGCACGGAAATCGTTACTATGGGGAAAAGCCAACAATAGCGAATCAATTTCAACTTGCCAAAACCATATGTTGGGGGATATTGGTATTTAGAGCACAATAAGAAAATCTAACTCAGCGTTTCAGGAAAAGATTGAAGTAAGAAGAGTCCTTGATTTCCTATTCCGATTTCGATTAATTAAAGTGTTCATTATGTTTTTACACGATGGACAATCAAATGTACTTGTAGAAGACTTTTATCAAAATTATCAAGATTTGTCAAAATCTCTTTATAGTTAAGTTTGATAAATTGCTTCCTCGCGATCATGTCCATGTGCACAAGTCACCGATTACGAATGTAAGTTCACATTCCCTACAATATATATCTGGCCCTAGTGCTCACTATTTATTAACTTTATGAAAATTTACAAATAGAAAAACTCACCTGTTGATGAACTCAAAGCCAAAGCTGGCAGAGCAGCCTGGGGTAGATTTTTTATTTCAAAGGTATGCAGCATGAAAAGTGGCTAGGGGCACTGTGGTGAATATTCAAAATTGCAGTACAAATGCAATGTCTGTTTCTGCAATGTCTATCTTGATCTAGGAACTTTTTTGACTTTCTTTCGAATTAACCCATTTTGTCCTCCATAGTATTATCAGTTACTTGTATCACATGCGTTAGAAATTAGCTGAATTCGTTTACAATGGCTTACTAGGTACTACCCTAGTTGGTTTAGTTTGTTCACGAACTTTTGACAACTGAGAAAGACCTATTCAGTCAATCAGTTATATAACACGTAACACTCGCTGGATTTAGGCAGGCCTTTTAAACAGTTCTCTTCTCCCCAGGTGATGGAGGTATGAGCCAATCAGGTTCGACAGTGCAGAGTTTTGACCCAAACACAGTGATGAACGCAGACCTTGGTTATACAATCATCGACTACAATCCAAATGCGAATGTCGATAAGGCATCATACAACCAAAACACAGATTTCAGCGTCACGTCGTATGACCCAAACCAATATGCCAGGAATTACATCATGGCTTTCGACCCAAATAATCTTAGCAACAAGTACATGACTGATGGCTATAATAAACACGAAGGTGGTGTCCAACCTCACAGCTCAAACGGCGTTATGACGTCCTATGATCCAAACAAACTGACCGCCAGTTATCTTCCAAACACATTTAACCCAACCCAATTAAATGCCAAATTCACTGGATCATTTGATGCCAACTCTCAGTCAGGTATGTCGTTATGTTAATGTCAAAAACAGGTTGTGAAGATTTCAATGTAGAAAAAACCAAATCATAAGGAGATCGAGTACCCGAACACGAGGAGACCAAGCTTTTTCAAATCCAGCACAATCGAAATCACATTAAAGTATTTCTTTCCAACAGATTCGTTCATGAGAGGTCCAACTGGAAATAGCACAACACAATCGGAAAGCCAAGGGACGCCAACAGTCAACACAAACTGGGCAGGACAGTGGAAGGGAGAATGGCCAAGTAAACACACAGCAGAGGAAAGCGACTTACCTCATGGAGTCACTGAAAAAACATCGTGGAACGGTTCTTGGAGCAAAAGCTGGCCTGGTAAGTTCGACATTTTTCTCATACAGTGTAGGCATCGAGATTGTAATGCAGACTATCCGTTAACAAACGGATATCACCAATTCGACGATGATGTAACAGTTATAAGGCAATGATAAGTGCAAGGGACAGACAAATATTTTTTGATAATAAATTCCTGTCCAGTGAATCCTGTTTATCATGCGTTGTCTTTGTAACGAGATCAGAAGAGCATTCATGTTTTTTTTATGTTTACTACAAGGTGTGCCAGACAGTTATGGTTCTATAGATCAGGGAGTCAATGTCCACACTTCTGCCACCAACCTTCACAAAGGTAATAAGTCTCTTTATCATGTATCGCGAGTGTCATTATTTGATGAAAATATGTAACTGGTTTCTTGTTCTTTAGTTATTCCTTTAGCTGGTAACAAATTAAGCGCATGCTAACAAAGCAGAGCCAGTTCAATTAATGTTATTTTCATTCAGTGTCCCATAATTGGAAATGAAGTTGTCGAAATTCACTGGATCATTGATCTCAATCAGGTATGTCATCACGTTAATGACAAAGAAGAGGATTTATGGTGGTTACATAACATTCTGAAACGCTAATCAGGCTTCAAGATCAACAGCACAAATTGTAAGGAAATGCAGTGAAAAAATAGTACAGTTTTTTATCATGCACACCCGGAGACCACAAACTGATCAAATTCAACACAATCAAAATCATAGTGATGAACACATTAAAGGATTTCTTTCCAACAGATTCGTCCATTGGAGATCCAAGTGAAAATAGCACAACACAATCGGGAAGCCAAGGGACACCAACAGTCAACACAAACTGGGCAGGACAGTGGAAGGGAGAATGGCCAAGTAAACACACAGCAGAGGAAAGCGACTTACCTCATGGAGTCACTGAAAAAACATCTTGGAACGGTTCTTGGAGCAAAAGCTGGCCTGGTAAGTTCGACATTTTTATGATACAGTGTAGGCATCGAGATTGTTATGCAGACTATCCATAAACCAACCGATATCACCAATTCGACGATGATGTAAAGCTTTACACTGTTATTTGGCAATGTTAAGTTCAAGGAGCAGACATGAGTATAAATCCTCAAATCCTGTTCAGTGAATCCTGTTTATAATGCGTTGTCATTTGTAACGAGATCAGAAGAACATTTATGTTTTTGTGTTTACTACAAGGTGTACCAGACAGTTATGGTTCTATAGACCAGGAAGCAAATGTCCACACTTCTGTCATCAACCCCCATAAAGGTAGTAAGTCTCTTTATCATGTATCGATATTACATAAAAATAAACACATAGCTAAGGCTGGTCAAAGGTTAGTTAGTTAACCACCGGTTTGTGAAAAAGTAAAATTGTCGCCACAGAAAGTACAAGATCATTAAAAGTAAAGTTAAAGCTCAAAATATATCTGGCCTGTCATAAAAAATCTACATCTGTGCAATGATTAAGAATGGTCTAAAATTTTAATAGGTACTGGTTATCGCTAACCGGTCTTTGAACAATCGGGGTCTGATTTCTTTGGCTTTGTTATTCCTATGACTGGTACCAGTGATAGCGATTGTTAACGAGGTTATTTGCTTTCCGTTTCACATTTTGAATGATGTTGCTGATGTTCAATTTAAATCAATTGAAAGGTTTTTAATACCTATATATATACCTTACGATGATGGCCCCGATATTGAGCGTGGTACTAAAACAACGTTTGTTTGTTTAGGTATCACAAGAGAGAGCTACTCACGGGGTTTATTACTACAGTAGTTAGAAAATATGTTAGGATGTGAAGGCGCTATTTTTGACGATTAGAACATATGTGAATTCATCAGTTATTGGAACAGCAATTTAAATATAATTTGAATTTCTTTTCAGGTACAAATTTAGAGGAAACCGTAGCATATCTACAAGAGCTTCTTGATACCTTGAAAACAAAAACTGCAGAAACCGAATTTTGATTATAAAAGCTGTCTTAAACTAATGCAATTACGGAATACATTACTACAAAAAATCGTTCATATTTCTTGTTTATTGAAATGTTTAGCTCAGTAAATGGTTTCTCCAATGTGTCTTTTCTTCTAAAACCCCATGATTTCCTCTAAAGATTTGCACATAAGACACGGATATTTCATACAAAAACATCTTATGATATAAGACTTTTTTCAAACCTGTTATGGGTGCTTATGCTAATAAAAGCAGTCTTAAAAGGTTCTTTTTCGTATCACATTTCATGTAAAAATTTGCAAACTGTGGAAATAACACTGTTAATCGTTAATTTTTTACCACCACATCTGCCTTTACCATACACTTTAGTTGCAAAACACTGACGTTAATGAAAAGCCGGTACGACATGCCAAATGGTTTTTATGAAGCAAACCATCTGTCGATTTTGTTTTTGGACCTAACTCCTTTATCGAATCATTTTCGAGATTGCTGAGGAAATTCTTAACTCTTAACGTCAAGATCCAGATAAAGATTTAGTCACGATGTCTTTATTAAAACTACAAGCCAAGGAAACAACAGCAGCAGGCTGGATAAACTATAAATGTGCTGAAGACGTCATGGAAATGCCTCATTAAATGGTTGTAAAATTGCTTCGTATGAAAGCGAAAAACAAACGTTTTATAGCTTCTATAAACCTGGCGGGAAACACTTTTTGAAGGAAAGTATGGAGGCTTTGTGGCTTAAGCATGTCATACCCGCTTTCCATAGAATCCTTTAAAGTATTTTACATAAAGTATTCCACATTCAACAGTCGTATAGAACATTTAGAATGTATAGGCTGCATCCAGAGTTTACATCTCATACGAAATTTATGAAAGAGTCTCCTTTTATTAATGAAAATATTCTAAACAAATATTTTGTTCGATATGAATCCTAACTATAACAAAATCAGAACTTAAGTGCTTCACAGGAATTCGGGCTTCAAACAGTATTCGTAGCCAAAACGTTTTAGAGGTGGTACTGTAACGAAAAGCATTCTGCTTTTATAGGTTTAACCATATGTTTATAACTTCAATGCGATCTTTAATTTCCAGGTACAATTATGTGCTTAGTTCTCCAGTATATACTACAGTAAACAAAAAACCCATAGGGCTTGTATCGCTCACCTGGCTTTGTTTGCTTCACCAAATATAAAGGAAAAAGGAATTCTTCCTTGGACCCACTCCTGTCCCATAGGGTCGGCAAAACCATTATACAATAGTCTAATACACTCAATAATTAAATTGGATGACATGCCAATATACCTACAGAAGATGAATTTGCTCGATTTCTCCCATTCGGCCTTGCAATTCCTGTCCCAGGGCCGCTAGACCAGTCTTTTATACTAAACTGATTCCCCTTCTCACAAGAAAGCTTCCGACCATATTTGGGCAAAATCCCATTATCCTACAGGTTTTTAAAAAATATTTACTCCATTTCCCTCATTGGGTCTCGGTGTCATGTAATATTTGTACCCCCATCAAGAAAGTATCCGGATAGTTTTTCTGGCCATCATTAAAGTACCTCCACCCCCTTTTGTATTTTTATCCCCCTCAACATCTTTTTTCATTCACACACACATATATATAGCGTGATTTGATTTTGACCAGATTTGTTCAGAAGCATCATTGGGTGAAGGGAAATCGATTTTGTATAAATGGTGGATTTCAGCACCCTTTAGCAGAAGGGGAAGCGCTAAATAGCGGAAATGTGTTTGAAAACAGTTTAAATCTTCATCCCATAACCATGTATAGCAACGTTGGGCATCAAGAAATATACACAAGCATGATGTTAGAATTGGCCTTTGGGTCTGGCCCCAACCCCAGGGACTTAATTTCATGGTATTAGCTTTAACAGTTGAGATCCCCACCCTTAAACCATATATGGCAATGCTGAGCGCCAAGAGATAAACACATTCACTATGCAAGAACTGGCCCTTGGGTGTGGCCCCACCCCTCTGTACTTAATTTCTGGGTGATATGTTTGAAACAGTTGAAATCCTCACCCCATAAATACACACACAAACACACATATATATATATAATTGCTTGGCATTAAAAGATAAACATATTTGTAATGTAAGAATTGACCCTTGAGTGTGGCACACATAACCCCATAACCATATAAACTCTTGCTGGGAATTAAAAGAGAAAGACAGTAATGATATAAGAATTTACCCATTGGTTTTGTCCCATCAAAGAGATTAAGTGACTAAGCTTTAATTTTGAAATTTTGAAATAGCCAACCTGTAGTATGTATAACATTTCTAGACTTAAAGATCCAGGTGAGCGATATTGGCCCTATGGGCCTCTTGCTTTCGAACACATTCTATAACGCCCAATGCTTTCTGCTACATATGACACAATAAATGAAAATTCTGATAGAGTGACCGATTTATTTTCTTTATTTGTGTATTTTGAGCCAAAGACTGATTCCTTTGAATTAATGTTGAGCCAAGACTTTATAATAATTGTTATCAATAAACTGTCTGTAGTTACACTTCATAAGACTGAAAGGATTCAAAGCTTCCAGGATGATGGATCCTGACCAGCTTCATTTCCAAGTAGTTATCTTTCAGAGGGGAACAACTGGTCTTCGGCCTTTTACATAAAGTGTAAAGGGAGGTGGCACTAAGTATGGGTATTACTGAGTTTGACTTCCAAGAAAAATTTAAGTAAAAGAACACACAGTATAGGATTATTATATGTTCCCTCCTCCAATATTTCAGAAAATTATCTAAAATAGTAGGGGGATACATTGATGATGGCCATTAGAATAATATCTATGGGGTATTGTCTCCCTGGATACTATTCTGATGACCATCATAAATGTATCTCCTTTATTATGTATCAAATAATTGACCCTAGATACTATTCTGATGACCATGATCAATGCATCGCCCCAATATATCTGATAATTGTTCCCTATTTACCCTACTTTACATTCCCAACTCCATTCCCATAACGCATGTCTACTAAGTGTATATTATTGGGCAGAGACCCATCGTTTACACAACATTTGTTCCCCTTTCCCAAACAATGCTTCTGACAAAATTTTTCAACAATCCTGTGTTCCTTTTCCCTCAGGGATGCTTTTGACCTAATTTGGTCAAAATTCTCGAAGTCATTTATGACTAGAAGGAATTTTGGGATGAAGTGTTGACGGACGGACATTGACCTGATGAGCCAAAAACGACAGGCAGAAACAACACACAAAGTTAAGAGTATTTACTGTCAACAGTTTTATTCAGATTTGTTGGATCATTATCCTCGCTCACTCTTGTACACCTAACTACAACCTTGTACACCATCACGACCAGATGCTGGTCATATCATCTTTCACTAACATTCTTACACTAACATTCTGCTTTTAATTAACTTGGAATAAGTTACACTACATATCTCTCAGCAAAACTCAAGTTTACTACAATCATTCAACATTCATTACCATTTGCTCCCTTTCATTACCTTGTACAATCTCAAGCTCCTCACTGCACAAATACACATCTAGCAATAATGACAAATTACCCCTGTGCCCAACTGGTAATTCAAACTTCCATATATAATTGCTGTACCATAATCATGTCTAAGGGCTATTCCAGAAAAATTGCCTGTGGGAGAAATCCAGCTAGGAATATAAAGCAAATTTAGTTCTTACTAATAGAATTAATTTCGTCATGGTTCCTATTCCAGAGACCTGAAATCCTTTGGTAGATATTTGACTAGAACAGCCCCTACAGTAGTGATGAATAATGTTGATCCCTATGCTGCCTTCATAATAGCTGTAGTTACTGTAACAACTTTTCTACAAACCATTCAATATGCCATATCCCCTTTTATTCACACAATACAAATATTGACCAACACAGACACAACTATCATACTCCGCAGCAGGTGCTAACTACAGGAACATGCTCTCCTAGCCAAATCCTTGTTGCAGTACCTACAGCACTTTGTGTGAACTTGCAGGGAAGAAAACCTCCATGTTCACAGGGTTTAATGAGATTGCGGGTAACAATTCAACTATGAATCAAACATGATTAAAACTAAAGAAAACTATATCTCTTAAGATCATCGGATTTGATAGTGTTTGAATCAACATTTCATATCAATATTTTAACTGTATTCTTATTACAATAATTTCATCTTTCAGATAAGATTATGCACAAGAAATAAAATAAAAATCAAGTTCTGATAAGATTTCAAAAGAAAGAAAAAGCTGGCACACCTCATGACATTCATGATCATCAAATACAAAAACATAACAGTATTTAGATTATTTCAAAAATATCGCAATCGCAACTTTCACGGTAAAAAATCCTTCACAGGCTCTATTCTCTATCACAGAAAATATTTTCTAAAATATCAATGATAAGGGTCTATTGTAAATTGATTCCAATGATGTTCAATTCCCAAAAGAATTTTCAGTAGACCAAATACAGAATCTATTCCTTTTTGAAAGAAACCTTTTAAGAACACAATATATAAAGAAGAGCCATTTTATGGCATTTCAAAACCTGATGTTAACACCACGTTTTATATGTAAATCTCTCTTCAGCTTCCTATAAATCTATATACATCCTAACTTCCTACAATGAATTGGAAACAGTACCAATTTTTTCGTAAATCTTAATTTTTCAACTGTTCATAAGCAATCACTTCTCTGATGTTTAAATCCTATTTGTCATCAAATCCAGAATAACTCAATTTGACAATTGTCCAATTGTCTGTGTACTTTTAAAATTTTGACACATGTTGAGCACTCAGCAGCCTAAAAAAGGCTTATGATACAGTGTAATTTCCAAGATCAAGTCCAAATATGCTGTCATTTAACTAGTCCGAGCTTTTTGGCTTGTGTCTCGTACACTAAAAGTCTCCACATTTTCACAACAAAAACCTCGGCTTCTTCATCTAGGACCTGCAAGAAATAATGCTTCCATATACAGTTCCATCAACATTAAAAAGACTTCATCATCATGTGGAAAAGCATAAATATAACTCCTACACAAATATTAATGTTTCAATTTCTTACATAAATAACCATAAAATTCCTACACAAATATAAATGTTTCTGTCCCTTACATCAATAATAATATAACTCCTACACCAATATAAATGTTTCTGTCCCTTACATCAATAATAATATAACTCCTACACCAATATAAATGTTTCTATCCCTTACATCAATAATAATATAACTCCTACACCAATATAAATGTTTCTATCCCTTACATCAATAATAATATAACTCCTACACCAATATAAATGTTTCTCCCTTACATCAATAATAATATAACAATATAAATGTTTCTATCCCTTACATCCCTTACATCAATAATAATATAACTCCTACACCAATATAAATGTTTCTATCCCTTACATCAATAATAATATAACTCCTACACCAATATAAATGTTTCTATCCCTTACATCAATAATAATATAACTCCTACACCAATATAAATGTTTCTATCCCTTACATCAATAATAATATAACTCCTACACCAATATAAATGTTTCTATCCCTTACATCAATAATAATATAACTCCTCTATCCCTTACATCAATAATAATATAACTCATACACCAATATAAATGTTTCTATCCCTTACATCAATAATAATATAACTCCTACACCAATATAAATGTTTCTATCCCTTACATCAATGCTACTTAAATGTTTCTATGTATAATTTCTTACAAATATAAATGTTTCACCTCTACCAATTAAATGTTTCAGCTACTTGTGAAACTTACCATTGCAACATCATTGAGTATATTCTGGGGCACGCTTCTTGCCACAACTTTCTGACATATAAAGTCAGTAAGAGTAGGTTCTTCCTCTCCAATATATTCTATTATCTTCTTGTTTACCCAAGGTTTAATTCTCTTGTCCATGAGACTCTGTAATTAAAAGCAACAATTTATTATAGAATAGAAGTTCTCATAACACAACCAGTAGAAGATTAGAAGGTAACGTTTTAATGACTACTCAATCACCTTCTTCAGACAAATGACCAGTGTGGTGTGTACTAGCACTGACATACATAGTGTACGAGATGATATAGAATTTGATTAAATTTTTTTAGCTGTACTATGATCCTATGTACACAAAGGTTGAATATAGTGTGATGAGATGGTAAACAGATTATAGACCAAAAAAAAAAATACACTAGAAGATAACAATGTTCTGTGGTCTATTGACATTATGAACCCGTAGATTTAAACAAAAAAATTGTTATCAGTCACTATGGCAATATTTTAAGATAAGGTTTAAAAACAGATAACACAATTCAGTGAATTACAGTCCCTCATCAACAAACCACCTCACCAAGGTGAACTCATACATAAAGTATGAAGTTCCAGTGGCTAATAGTGTAGGAGATGGTGCACACAATCTTTTTCTTTGATGTAGGTCAAATCTCAAAATGTATGTCAGAGTGATGTTCTGTAGGATATAGAGCCTGAACAAACTATTTCTTTGATGTAAATAAAAGGTCAAAACATAAGGCAGAGTTACTTTCTTTTGGTTCATGTTATATTGTCTCACCAAACTTAACCTATATCAAAAATATGAAGTTCCACTGACAAGATGGGTAGGAGATAAAGCTTTGACAAGTTTTTCTTACATGTAGGTCAAAGGTCCAAATATAAATAAGAAGGACAGAAAGATAGAAGGAGGAAGGACAAAAATATAGAACTATAGCACCACTCCTCCCCCTTATTATTCTGATAGGGGTCTAATCATGACACATTGTTCTCTAACAGCAAGTTATTTCCAAAGCAAAAGTCAAAATTTTCTGACAGCCATTTCTTTTATATAGATCAAATACCTGATCAACAATGTTCCAGTCCAATGGATAAGCAAATAATTCGTCTTTAGCAGTTGGTATATTTTCAATAAGGTGCTTAATTCTTGTACGCTTCTCTTCAGCTGTTGTGGGTTTCTTTTCAGACTTGTCATCATCATAGTCCAGTGGAACCAATTTTCGTTTCTTGGCTCCATCGGATCCTTCATCATCATCTTGATTGAACACATCTCCAACTGTGAGCTTCTTTCTTTTAGGTGGCAAACCTTCCACAGGACTTCCTGCACCTGGATCAAAGAAACACTTTCAATAAACTCACTGGATATCTATACAAAGAATTATCACTTTAAACTTCTTTATCCAAAAGAAAATCAATTTTGAATGTATAATGCAAAGGAGCAAACCTAATTTGAGAGAACTGAAGCCTAGCTTTGCATTTTCCTCCTTTGCTGGACCATAAACTGGCTGAGGTGTTGTATCTGTAAATGGCAGGTTACTGTCATCATCCTCATCAGATAAAGAGCTTGCGTCATTGTCGATCGGTCGCAGTGTTGACTGCATTTTGGGTGGTAACTTAGCTCCTCTGGAATCCTCATCTTCCTGCTCATATTCTTCCTCATTTTCTTCTATCTCCTCTCGCAGCTCTTCCCTTGGAGGTGGAACTTCAGGAGACTTTGGGACTGGTTGTGGTAAGAGCTGGAGTCGTGGCTTAAGGTGTTCTTCTCTCTCACGCTCAATCTGGAAATAGAGAAAAATCCTTTTCACATAACATGAATATTAATCATTTCTCTGTAACAATATACAATCAAACTTTGATGTTTCGAAATTCAAGGGACTAGCAAAAACCTTTGATACATCGATGCTTTGAATCATTGGTGGTGGGTTATATAGACATTTTCGTTGTCTCCAGAAAAAACAAATCTATTTCACTCGTGTGTCTAATATCTTTTATATCTTTCACTCATGAAAGGTACTAAAATATTAAATGCACCTGTGAGATATATTTGTTATTTCTGATGACATTATTACATATCCTCTATGAATTACCATCTTCCAGACCAGAAAATACAAACTTACTAATATCTATTGTATTAAATCTAAAATACCTTCATGTCAAATCATTGAAGTTAATTGAAAATTTTGTAAAGACTTTACCTTTGCTAGCTCTGCTTCTGGGTCTGGGTGACCCTCATCCATCAGTTTTCGACGAATTTCTTCCAACTCCTCTTTCTCACGTTGCCGATCGCGTGCATCTGCCTCACGCTCTTTTTCTCGCTCCTTCATCCTCCTAGCCAGCATGCTACCTCTACAAAGGAATTCGAAAAAAAATTTCACCTTAATATAATGACAATGTACTTCCAAATAATAAAGCCTTTTCGGGTTGTTCAATATCAAATACTAACACAACCCAATATTAAATATCATCACTCAAAACATTAAGCTTTATCCTAAAGAAGTGACAACATGATTCATACAAAATCAAGATCAAGCCAAACTGTCATATGAAATTTTCACAATATTACTAAGTAGATAAACTTTTCATGTTGTTTTTGATGGAATTATCAGTAAAAATATTCTGATCAAGCACAGCAAAGTTTTTCAAACCTCACATTTCCACGGAGTCTTGTTCATAGTGAATAAGACCTCTTTGGTAAAAAAACTGGATCACCATTCACGAGAGCCATCAATGAATTAGGAAATACCAATTATTTTTAAAGAATTAAGTTAAGAAGATTTAATGATCTTACTTGTAAAATTTAGGATCATCCCTTTCATCATCATAATCTTCTAAAAATTCTTTCAGCCGTCGAGCTTCACGCATCTGAAATTGTAGGAATTACAAAAAACAACCCATTAATCCTTACCATTAAGGAAACTTTTTCTCGGTGTAATAGGGGCTGCTACATTACCATAAGAATTTGCGAAAGCAGCAAAAGTAACGAATGCCAAAGGAAGCTAATTTAGTAATGAAGAGATCTGATTAAATTAAGAACAAATGTCATTGTATTCAAAGTATTTTAAGTTTGTTTTTGTCTATAATTCCAAGAGTGTACACAAGAAGTGTCAAAAGCAAACAAGTCATATTTACCTCTTCAGTTTTGCGTTCTTCTTCCCTTTCTCTGTCTTTCTCATATTCTCTAGATTTTTTTCTTTCTCTTGCTTCCCAATTTTTCAACCTCTATATATTTGAGTAAAAAACAAAATATACATCACCTTAAAATCAACAAAATAACAAATTAAATGCAAAGCATTTTAAGAAAGATAAGGCCACCTCCTTTCACATGACAATCCTTTATGACAGCCATTATCCTAAAGATGTAGGTTTTTAACAATATATCATTACTGTTCTAAATTCTATAATTAATGGTACAGACCCTGACTAAAAGTCATCGCATGTTGGATTGTAAGTCTCTGTTTGGCTGGAAGTAGGCTATCAAATATTATTTACAACAAATGAACACTGCCAGGTCTATTGGCGAAACAACATTTCATATGTAGTAGATGCTGACCTATTTTAAGTAATAGTAACTCTGGATGCACAAACACATTATACTATTTGAGCACCGATTAATACAAAATAATTTTAGCAGATTTATTGTAGCTATACAGCCAACGAGGAATGTTACCTCTTGGTAAGCTGCTTCTTTTTCCCGAAGTTTCTTTTCTAATTTCCTTCTCTCATGAGCTTCTTCCTCCTCTTCAACATCTCTATCTCGATCTCTATCTCGCATTTTTCTTAAATAAAAATCAAGCATTTTTATAATGAAGTTTTTGGAGATCATATCAACAAATTTTATCAAATCATAACGTATTTCCAAATTTTTAGCTTTTCCTTCCAGCATCCTGAAGACATTAGGTTATCTTAATATTTCATTTGATTCCCCACTTCTTTGAACAATTTATAGATCCTGAAATTTTACATACACACCTTATAATACCACTTTTGAGTTTTCAATAATTCTGATGATTTCAAAATAATAATACAAACAGGTGTAAGGTATGTACTGAAGCTTATATCCCTGACAATGAAATTTATATATCTAATCTGCATACCCAGTTTTATTGCCAATAAACTTGCAACATACCTTTCTCTGGATCTATCTCTACTAGGAGACCTTCTCCTTCGACTTGAAGGGGAACGAGACCTGCTACGTAATCTTTCGTAACGTTCTCTTTCATATCGTTCCATTTCTCGTTCTCGTTCGCGTTCCCTCTCTCGTTCCCTTTCTCTTTCCCTTTCCCGTTCCCGAGCTCTCTCTCGTTCCCTTCTTCTCTTTTCTTCCAGAATTCTACGTTCCCGTTCCCTTTCCTTTTCTTGATCTTTTTCTGGTTCATCTTCCCCCTGCAAAACAAAATGAAAATCACACTTGATGAAATTGCCTTTTTTTTTTCTTTTTTTAAACTCAGCCATCTCTTAATCTAAAATGATGATACTGCTGCATAAACAAATTCATTCTGTAAAACTTTAAGCAAATATGTCACCATCTGTAAAGCAAAATGTAACAAATCATTAAATCTAAAAAGATATAATATTCAAGTTAATTTCATCAAAGAAACATTTTTAAGTTAACAATCCTCACTGTTTCATAAAACTACAGATATCAGAACGTAGATATACCAATTTAGAATTTTGAATTAGTAAGATTCCATCCGAAAAAAAAAGTACAGATCAAATTCAATTAAAACAGTGGTATATCTATCTCTACTGAATGAGAAGTACTTGCTTGTTTGTTTGCTGGCTTTATTGCCGTTGTCCTAGATCATTTATGCATACATGAATAGTACAGATAGGATTTTCCTATTGATTAAATATATGTGATAAATTCATAGCAAGTCTTCATCACTCCAATAGGTTTTTAGAATCTGACACACTGAGATTGTTACAAAGGTAAGAATCATGTAACTGCCTCTCAAGTACCAATAAAAAGCTTTTGAATGATTAAAAGGTTTGTATTGTGTACCTGTTTAATGGCAATTTTCTGTGTTTCCAATTGCTTGAGAACAATAAAACTGACAAAATATTGCTGTCATCCTTAAAATGCTGAATTTATATATTATACATAACATATATATGTGTATGTTTGAGTGTGTATGTGCTGTTATACAAAGAACTCCAGATTACCAATCCAATGCTTTACTTATTTAGCTTTAAGGAAATATCCCTTTGGCTGAGCTAGTAACCATCTAATAGATAGTTGAAAATGTGATGTACTTCCCTCCTGGAAATGGTGTGTGCTTGATGTATAACCATGCTTCAGATAGCAAGGTTAAGGAGATTATTATAACAGGGTCTAAACATAAGTGCCATGGTAAGAGCACTAACTTCTTCCATGTTCCTCTTTCAGGAAGAGTCAAGCTCTTGACTGCATATTTCAGGTCATGTGACTACAGATCAAGATAAAGAAAGTTTTAATGTGATCCGAATTAGTACAGTACTAGACCGAAAATTAGTAAAGTACTAGACCAGTCATCCGGAATCTCAAATATAATGCCTTGTGCAACTACTTGGAATTAGTAAGTTCAGTCAATGCTGAAATCTCAAAAAATTTCTGGTACTTGGAAAAGTAGACAGAGTTACACAAAGACACACACACATATATATATAACATATGTATATATACAAATGTATAAATTCTGTTGGCAGACTAGTGATACTGCACAATGTGCTAAAGCAATGATTTGATAGTCTCAGACTTCAGAAAACTAAGAACACCAACATCCATGACCATGCCAAAGATGTCAAGAGTGATTGCTGACTATAATCAAACAGTCAACCTCTCCCTAATCCAGGCATTGAGTCTGGGCCAAGGCTTGATACCAAACCATTCACTACATATACATATTACTTCTCTGCTTTGTAGAAATCCATCCTCCTAGTTCCCTTCGATGGCCTATTCCAGGTGTGAAATCTCACCCAAGACAGGTTTAAGTTGCTGCTAATAACACAAAAATTGACATTAACATCCCAACCCCTACCCCTTCTTGACAAATTTTTGTTAAGATCATTTGTTGAAATTTTGTCAAAATAATTTCCATTTTTATGAAGGTGGTAAAAAATCCACAATCACAGATGAAACATTTTTAGGTTTAAATATGGGGTAATGAAAATAAAAATAAAAAAAATTAATAAAAAATGGTTGACAATCACTAAAACAGGATAAAATTATGGAAGGACTGATGTAAATTCAAATAAGTGTTTAAAAATATGACAAATTTCCAGACAGTATCTGAGGTAACAGAGGTTAACTTCCAATAAGACATCCTGTAACCTTCTTACCTTTAGATGTTAGGTCTTATACATGTTGCCTCACAGGGCAAGACTATCCTCTCCTATAAAACTCAAGTACACTATCAGACATACCAGATAAAACTGATCACTGACTTCCACCACACACTACCAAATACAATGAAGTCACACTTTCAGTGTAAGTAGCTAAAATCAAAATGACTTGGATAAAAACACAAGATAAAAAGGTAAGTAAATTTTACTTACCTTATGCTGGGCCCCCAGAGATAGAGCATTGAACCAACCAAAGTAAAGTAATGGCACTAACCTCAAACTTCTTGTTCTCATCATGTATCAGATCACTACTCACTTAAAACCATTTTATCTGAACAGGGACCTGAACCAGTATGGCATAAGGATAATGTCAGTCTATAAATTTTGTTTTGAAGCCAGTTTCTTGTTTTTATTTAGCTGATCAAAATGACTTACCGTTGTACCTCCAACTCTTCTTCATCCAGGATAATGGCAAATATATATCAAAATATAAAACTAAGTAGCTACTTACCGGCTGGTCTTTACAATAATAATTTACTGCTATTCATGTTGATCGGATGCTTGCCGCATAGCATCGAGAGAATCTAGTAATTTTTGAGTAATGAAATACAGCCTGTTATTCAACAAATTATCAATATTTCAGGACAGAAATTTTAATTCTTTTTATTCAAAAACCAAATCTAAATAAAGACAATTTTAAAGAACATGCTCAACTCTAGGAAAAATCAGAGGTACTTCAAAACTTTTGGATCTTTACCCTTTAACCTTCAAGCTCAATCTAATGTTTGTGGATATACAAATAGGTTATATTATAACAGAGAAGGAATTTCACTTTTGCAACTGGATGTTTTTTTTTCTTACTCTAAAGCAAGATACTTAAAAATTGGTATTAGCTGTATCTAATATTGGACATAGGGAGACAATTTCAAATAGTTTTAAATATAAAATATTTACGTAAATATCTTAGAATCAAGTCAGATTTAAAAGCCACCCTGCCATGGAACAGATGTCAGAAGTTATATTATTTTAAGACCCAATAATTTCTGAAATAGAACAAAATTTGAACTTGTTTTCCTGAATATGAACTGTCCTAAACCTGTTAAGTTAACATCATATTTCTTGTAGGTTCACAGTAAAATAGCAATTATAAAATGTTTTGAATAAAAAATTAGGAAGGTAAGTAATATACAAGACAAATATTCAAAATTCAGGAAAACAAAGTACACATTTACATATAACAAAAAGTATTAAGGCTGAAAGCTATTTAGCAAGTTAATTGAAGTTGCATACCTTGTGTAGATCTCTGAAACTTCTAATCTCTCTGTTGATGATTTCCCTTTTGTCCTCCTCCATGTCTATATCATCAATTCCCTGTAAATTACAATAGAACACAAATTCAGGTACAAGGAAATTTATCTGTCAACACCAAAAACTTCTTTTTTCCATTTTAGTATTAAGAAGCCTATTTAGCAACATTTAAAACTGGTGGATACTCCCTGAAACATAAATGATGTGGTCTGAACAAAGTAATCTTCAATAGGAATCAATTAGTTCATTTCACAAGCATTGCAACACTCAACATCAGAAGGCTTTAGCCTAGATATTATGATTCACAGTCTCTTGGTTAGTCAGATGACTGAGTAATTTACAAATTTAACCACTTTGTCCATCAAGGTTACTATCCTTGGAGGCAACTATTAAAAAATCCAGATCCTACACCAATTGGTTTTTACTGACTTTTTTTTTTTTTTTTTTAAAAAAGCAATCATGAGATGGATATGATCACATCAAAATGGACATGGCTTGTGTATTTGTGTAAACAATAACTCTGGAATTATACTTACAGTATCTTTTATTTCTTTTTCTTCCTTCTTTTTTTGTACAGTCTTCTGTTCTTTATCAGTGTCTAAAAGTAAGTATGTGAGAGTTTTAATTCAGCATTATCCAGACAAGATTTTTTCTTAAACTTCACCTGCTTTTTAACATCTTAACTATTGAAAACATTTCATTATCTTATCATAACTTGTAACTCTGTACAAAACAATATTGCAAATTGATCTAATATCACATATTCGTCATCAATTTTTTTTCCCAATTCAATGTTCAGAAGTTCAACAGGAAAAGTATTGAAAACTGTTATGCTTAATCTATCAGAACTCAAAGGTATACAAAATTTAACAGTTACCTGAAGAGTTTCAGTTACACAAAGTAGGTCAACACAATAATGACTCTACACCGAAATTTAGAACCAACGATCAGAACCAATATACAAATTGATTTTTCTTAATATCTTTATGATTAAAACACTATTTACAATTGTAAAAAAGTATGTAACAGAAAAACAAAGACCCGAAATGTTTCCATACCCTTTAACAAAGGTATGAAGTCATCATAAAAGAGTTAATTAGAAAGTGCACACAACTCAAAAGCAAACTAAGTGTTATGTGAAGTCTGAAAAGTTCTATGATCAAATCAAGTCAAAAGGTGTAAACAGAAGTTTTACAATAAAAATTCATTATTGGACGATTTTGCAAAAATGACAAACATGAAAAAGGGTACAGCAATAAAACTTCTTTCTGTATTTACTTTTTCTTATATCAGTTCAACTAGCATGCAAAATTTGTGACAAATGCATGCTCCAAAGAACAAAAAAACTTGGAATCTGTCTCGACAGGTCATGTTAGTCTGATAGAAGATCTCTCAAGACAGCTTCCACATTGACTTTGAAAAGAAAGTACACGCCAAATTCCACTTATGTGTCTTGTTATTGAGTTTAGTATATTCACCATACCAGCTCTGTCATAAGATCGGTGTTATTTGTGCACCTCAAGCTTCTTCCAAGTACGCTTCATACTAGAGATAAAATTCCTGGTATTATAAAAAGGAAATCCAAATATGACCATGAAACAAATTACATGTACCTGCCAAAGACACTTTTGAATCCTTCCTACCTGAAGGTACAGGTTTACTGAGATCAGAAGCATATTCTCTCATAATGGCATCAAGGCCTGCTTTTGCCACTCTGTCTTCTCTCTTTGAAAATTCGTCGAGATCATCTTCTTGATTATCACCATTCTCTGAAGACTTGCTCTCTTTATCCTCTTTTTCTTTATCACCATCTTCCTTTTCATCATCTCCATTTTCAGCTGTCTCACTTTTTTCTTTGGTGTTTTTTTCCTTAATTGCAGTCAGTTTAGCTTTTTTCTTGGCTCTGTACTCATCTAGTAACGTTTTTGTTTTAGCATCAACTTTCACCTAAAATTGATAATAACAAATGATTACATACACAAGAAGTATGCTCCACTCATAAATACCAACAGATCACATCTATTTTGATTCCGACATCATATGGAAAATATACCTTATTTTGACTAATTACACCAAATCAAATGAAATTGTCCTGATCAGGGGTTGACAGGTTTCTGGTGAAACCCCAAGTTCCATTTACTCATGTCATGTAAATTATACAACTTACAACAAGATTAATCACTACAAATATGTACAATGAACCTAGAATTAACAAACTAAACACTCAAAATTTATCACAACACCTTGAACTTTTTTTTTGCAAGTGCAGTTCAGCAGCGTTCAAGGATGTGCAAATAATGTAAGAAATATTGTGTGATGATAATGTAGGTACATACCACCAGCTTTTTATCTGTAATTTCCCATTCATTAAGGAGCCTCATGCAACGTAGCGTTGCTTCTGGGTTTTCATACTCGCAAAATCCAAATGCTGAAATAAAAAACAAGTTCAATATTGTTATCACTTTTTGAAATTAATCAAAGCCATTAAAATTTAACCTGAGCAGTTGCACCAGAAATAATATTTGATTCTACATGTTTTACTAATGAACTGTGAGTGGACAGATATGGGACTCAAGTCAAAATTTGGCAAAAGTTCAAGGAATATTTGACATGCAAATTTCACATAACCTGAATAACCAAAACAGGTATTTATGTATTACTTTTTGTAAGGCATTATAACAAAGGATTACCAGCTCTAAATACTGTATGCCATGCAACTTTTCACATAATTCATACCTTGCAATTTCCCAGATGCACCTTGAACTCGTTTCCAACTGAGAACATTACCACATCTCTGAAAAAAAATCAGCTTAACTTAAATCATTTTAAATGCTTCTAAATATACAACAATTAAATAAGATATTGAAATGTTTTAACTTAAATGTTACCTGTAAGCTTCCTCATGAGGGAAACAGAAATGTTATAGCTAAAAATATCATTAGTAAAAAATACCAGTAAATTAATGATGAAATAACCTGTTTTTTGTATTAACTTTTGTGATTTCTTCACATTCTATCAAACCAATTTAAAGTTTGTTTTCTGCCAAAAATCACTTAAAATGCAAACATTCATGACTTACAAAATTACCATTAATGAAACTTCTATTTTTTAAAATGGGAATATTAATCAAATCTAATGTCTAATATTTTGACTTGACGTACCTGTAGCATCTGTCTCACCATGGCATCAGGAGCTCTGTCACTAATATTTCCAACAAATACTGTGGTTACTGGAGGCTTTTCTTCATCATCATCCTAGAGCAGAAAACAACATGATAAACAACCTGATAATGATCGATTTACAGTTCTGTAATATGGTCATAGTATTAACAACATAATAATTGTATCAAACTTGTCAGAATTTCAAGGAAACTGACAGTAACTAACTATGTTTGAATTATCAAGAACATTTTCTTCATGTCCATAGCAAAGTATATACATTGTACATCTGTGAATATATTTTTTTGAAACGCTACACAACCCTTAGTGCTCCAGATATTTTTTACCAATGAGTTAAGTACTCCTACTTTTCAGACCTTGACAGTAAAATATGATTTTGTTTGTCACCAATAAATCTATGACTGAATGTGTCAAATGTAAGTCTCTTCATGAAACATTGAAAAAATTCTCTCTCTCAAATAATAATTTTTTAAAGTTTTCATGGTGAAATTCCTCAAGATATTGAGCAGACACTGGGTATGCACTCTCTTACAAAGCATATGTTTCTGATGTAACATCAATTCATGTTTGTTAAACATCCTAATATCATTTGTTACCAACAAATGTCAGATGAAACCTGGTTTTCACAGCAAAAAAATATATGACAACTTACCTTAGGAATCTCTTGTGGCACCAGCTGTTTCTTTGATGGCTTCAATGATTGGGGAGTCAGGTTTGCCTGTGAGGTCACTAATGGTCTCATAACCTTGACAGAAAGAGAATGTTGTGAATGATTATAAGTTTAGATATACTATTAGCAATGTTCAAGTTCACGACTTCCTAATTATGTATGCTATTTGAATTTTTGTTATAAGAAAGTACTTGACATGTTAACAATGATACTAGCACCAACTGATCACAAACCTTAGAGCATCAGCTCCTTTTTTTTTCTCCCACAAAAATTTGGAATCAGACTTCGAAAGGTGATAGTTAAAATGTAATATCCTTAAAATAATATTTTTCTAGTGCTCATTTGGCCAAGACATCTAAAAGCAAACATCTGCCACCCCCACCAAAAAAATAACAATCTTTATACCATTTGAATTATTTGTAAAATTTTGTTTCCCACTGCAAACTACTAGTAACATGAAAACAATTCCTGAATCATTTTAAATATTCCTCTAAAATCTTTATTTTTTGGCCGATATTTACCTGTCATGCATGGGGGGAATGGGGATTTCTCACTGACAAATTTGGTTTTGGATAGAAGAATCAGCTTACCATGTAATTCAAATTATGCTGATAGTAATGTTAACTTCCTATTACTTTTTGAAAGTCTCCATCAAAAACAACAACTTTTCATGTGAAAAAAGTCATACATCAACCCTCTCATGCCCTGATATCTATGTCATCAATTAAGAACAAATAGAAATATTTACATCTCTCCACAAAATTTAATCCATTCAATGTTAATATTTATTTTATTGAAGCAGATCTGGATGAGATTGATTTTAAGAGACCAGGTGGCTCAATTGCATTGGTTAGCATTTAAAGTATTGTTTATGTAGTTGAGGACTGCAAGAATTTCCATTTCCTTTCTTGTCAATCTGCTTAATCCAAAATATCTGGATAGCCTATCAGTTCAGGATGAAATTTTCTAAAAATGATCTGAACTTACTGTTGTTGGCTGCATTACACCCATGCTCATAGGCATCATTCCTGTAAAAAAAAAAAACATGGATATTTACCACATATACATCTTTACAAATTAGTACTGTAAAAACCCACATAATGTGCAATTTTTTTTAGGAGAGGGGGTGCATACATTTTGCAGCTATAGGATAGTAAGACCTGAAAAATAACTTGACTCGCAGAAGCTATTATTACCTGGTTTGGTCATTGAAAGGTAGTTACCTTTATCAGAGATAACATCACTAACAAGGTTGATAAGGCCTACTATATATAGACTTGTTGGAGTTATTCTGACGTTCTATCGTCTTTTCTAATATTGGCATGGAGTTCATGAACATATGAACTCCGGCCCTATATAAAGCGCTGGAAATAAGTAACCCACGCTTGGGCTGTTCTTTATCTTAAAATATTTTGAAACAGGACATGTTTCATAATGCCAATACACTCACTAAACATACATTTTCTCCACCCTCCTCAATTCTAGTTTATCATGTTTGTGTTAGCAACACCTCCTCTAGTCACATGCCTATAATCCCACTTCTTACGCATGCGCTAATGTTCAGACAATAGCCTTAAATAAAAAATTTGCCCGCCCCCTTTTATTTCTCTTTTGTGCCATTTGTACAAACAATGGAGACATATATCAAGATTTGACAATGAAATAATTCATTTAAGATTAACAGTAAATGTCATATAAAAACATTCATTTTCATAAGTGAAATTAAGCTGAGAGTGTGTGTTAATGCTTGTCTGTGTTATATTTTTTTGGTAGATATATTACAAATAGATATATATAACTTTTTGGGAAATACTTTAAGTAAATGAGATGGAAACAAATCTTAAAGAAATTTCTTTTAAGTTTTGGACCTTTGTGGCTGTTGACCTGACGAATAAGCAGAATATTCTGAGATCAATTTCTTAACTCCTGGAACTAGAAGCATATTTTCAGCATTTCAAACCTCAAAAAATACCTACCAATATATAAATGCACAAAATACACATGTTTTCACAGTATCTGGCTTAAGTATTGTATCTAAATAAGCAATATACTTTCATCATGTACTCGTACTAGTCAGATCACAAAGCAAGAAATATGATTGCTGTTTGTTTATCTGGGTTATCCTAAAGTGATTAACCAGAATCATTCCAAGGCATGGGCTTATTTCAGTAGTTGCTATTTGCTTCACTAACAACATGGGCAATTCGGGTGAAGTGTCTTGCTCAAGGACACAAACCATCCTGTTTCTCAGTTAATCTCTCAAGAGTTGTCTTTGTAAACATGTATGCTAGCATCACTCTCTAGAGTTATCTTTGTAAACATACATGACAGCATATCATATTGGAAAAATGTTCAATACTGGACCGCAATATAGTATCCCCAAGTAGGCAACAGATTCTCGACTATACCCTGCAATGTGTTCAATAATAAATGGATACTTGGCGACGACCTGTTGGCTATGCGATTGGGTGTCTGGAATCCCAATATCAAATTTACTTACCCATAGGCGTTGCAAACGCATATCCCATGCCTGGAGCCATTGGTGGCATGCCCAGGGGAGGTCTTTGAGGAAATGACATGCTCCGGCCCCTTTATGTAAACCTAGAGAGAAGAAAACACCCACCGGTCAACACAAATGATTGTATATGAATGTTATAAAGAAATTGCTACAACAACACCAAATAACCCTTTTATAAATTATAAAATATTAAATCTTGTCATTTCTTCATCTGTGAATTAGCTGGAATTTAATAAATTATTAAATATAACCAACATCTGCATTTGAATAAAACAATAGGCATAAATTCGTGTTTTCCTTCCGAAGCGATTGATTACTGAACGCCAGAAAATGTCATGTAAATCATAAAGCCAACTTTCTAACAGCAAGTAGGAATGGTGATCGGTAATCGAATTCAAACACAAATGAAATTGTTCAGTTGTTAACAATCAAAATGTGAAAAATAATCAAATATGAGAAAGACCATACCTTGCAAACAACATCGACTTGCCGGACCAGGAACAATTACATGCAAAACAAAATGGCGGACACTAAATCGTGCACGAGGCCTATGACGTCACGGGAAATTGAAACATTTTAAAGATAATTAGGCAGAAGTTTTCTATCAATTTATAATTTCAATAAAATTTACTAAATATTTTCAACACAAAATATTATGATGGCATTGTTTATTAACGCATTTCATTAAAAAGCTGCTGAAAAGAAGACGCTTAAGATAATGGGGAACGACTAAGAACAAGAATGATGACGTGAATCTGTTGTCTGCGGCCAAATTGCCTGCTCGCAACTCGCGATGGTAAAGAAAGACAAAGGCGTTGAGCGTCTGAGGAGCCACTTTTGTCTCTCTTTCCAGACCCATAGTACAGCTTATATCTTAAGGCACAGAACATTTATGTTATTTATCCTACAACATTGATTGAAACTTACATAGTTTTGTTACTCAATTTGTGTTTACCTGATTTTGACGTCCGGATATGACAATAAATTTATGAATTTTCGTAAATAAGCTTGTTCACTGCAACATATATTCAGAAATTAATTCCGTCGAACTTACGCACGTGCTAAAATACAACTGTTTTCTGTCACTGCCGAATACAACAAAACTGTATGCGGTAGGCGTATTCTGACAATGGTGAAATTGCCTGTTGCAGGATAAAATGAGAGAATACACGGTCAATGTCTAATAAGCTGTTTGATTATACTAGTTTTGGTAGACGGGTTCAGTGCCTAATATTGCCTTATCCTAGTTCCGAAACCAAAATAATGATATTGCTATCCAGAAATGGTGATAAACGTGGTTAATAAATTCCTCGTTATTGAAAGACAAGACATTATCATTATATCTGAAAGTGAACTCAAACTTCTTTGCTAGGTCTTCCTGACATGTTTTGATAATTCGATCGTTTTATCATTTGAGGGATCTTTAAAACAGTCGTAATGGAAGATCAGGCTTATGGAGTAAGAGACGAGGTAATAATGTAAATGAATTACGTCCTTATAAGTTATATAACTTTGTACGGAAAGTTACGTCTCTAGTTTGCTTATTCCTACAACCCACTGCAATCCTTACTTCATTTCGTTTGTGCTACCACTCTAGTGCTATAGAAACCGAGCAGTATGGTAGGCCAAAGATCCCATTGAATAAAGATTATGTAAATATAGTATAGAAAATGTAGTTGACGATAAGAAACAATTGTATTGGAGGGTGAATTTTCCTTAGATATAAGGCATCAGCTGTTTTTAATTAGGAATAATTTGTTTCCGGATTTTAGTATATTGAATGGTAAAAATAAACTGGTTTTGATTATGAATATTGCTTACTCTAAACATTTAGCCTCTTTTTCTTTTTTTTTTTTTTTTTTGATCACCCTCCTTTTCCTGAAGGATAAGTACTGAATGAAACATGTTTTTCTAACCGATACATGTACATAGTTTAATAAGATATGATCTTATAAAAATATTGAAACTGAAAACATTTCTTTCGATTATCAACATGATAGTTGTGGTTTCATGTAAATAATTAGGAGATAGTTCAAATACCCTTCTTCACGGTGGTTTTAAATTGATGCGCCGTTCAAGTCTGACTTGATGGAAAAGAGTAAAATCTAAATACTTTTTCAGATGATCTTGACTTTGGAATTGGAATCAGAAATGTAAACGTATACCAAATGGTGGTTACAAATAGTCTGCCATTCACCGTAACATTAAGGTTGATTTATTCCATTTTTCCTTTCTTTTTGTGCATTATGGTATGGTATATGACTATAGGTGTTACTGTAACGCAAAAATGACATAAATATTCGAAAAATAAACATATCAATATGAAGAGTTTTTCAAGTTTTCAATAGTATGTCATTCAGAAATGTGAATATATCAGACACGTAAAGAAAAAGATTAATGTATAATAGTGGAGTAGAGAGACGGAGGAAACATATAAAGGTGGTACTGACGGAGTAGAGGGACGGAGGATACATATAAAGGTGGTACTGACGGAGTAGAGGGATGGAGGAAACATATAAAGGTGGTACTGACGGAGTAGAGGGATGGAGGAAACATATAAAGGTGGTACTGACGGAGTAGAGGGATGGAGGAAACATATAAAGGTGGTACTGACGGAGTAGAGGGATGGAGGAAACATATAAAGGTGGTATTGACGGAGTAGAGAGACGGAGGTGGTACTGACGGAGTAGAGGGATGGAGGAAACATATAAAGGTGGTACTGACGGAGTAGAGGGATGGAGGAAACATATAAAGGTGGTACTGACGGAGTAGAGGGATGGAGGAAACATATAAAGGTGGTACTGACGGAGTAGAGGGATGGAGGAAACATATAAAGGTGGTACTGACGGAGTAGAGGGATGGAGGAAACATATAAAGGTGGTACTGACGGAGTAGAGGGATGGAGGAAACATATAAAGGTGGTACTGACGGAGTAGAGGGATGGAGGAAACATATAAAGGTGGTACTGACGGAGTAGAGGGATGGAGGAAACATATAAAGGTGGTACTGACGGAGTAGAGGGATGGAGGAAACATATAAGAGGTGGTACATATAAAGGTGGTACTGACGAGTAGAGGGAGGAGGATACATATAAAGGTGGTATACTGACGGAGTAGAGGGATGGAGGAAACATATAAAGGTGGTACTGACGGAGTAGAGGGATGGAGGAAACATATAAAGGTGGTACTGACGGAGTAGAGGGACGGAGGAAACATATAAAGGTGGTACTGACGGAGTAGAGGGACGGAGGATACATATAAAGGTGGTACTGACGGAGTAGAGGGACGGAGGAAACATATCAGTGTTGTACTGACGGAGTAGAGGGACGGAGGATACATATAAGTGTCGTGCTAACGGAGTAGAGGGACGGAGGAAACATATCAGGGTTGTACTGACGGAGTAGAGGGACGGAGGATATATAAGGGTCGTACTGACGGAGTAGAGGGACGGAGGATACATAAGGGTCGTACTGACGGAGTAGAGGGACGGAGGATACATATAAGGGTTGTACTGACGGAGTAGAGGGACGGAGGAAACATATAAAGGTTGTACTGACGGAGTAGAGGGACGGAGGAAACATATAAAGGTGGTACTGACGGAGTAGAGGGATGGAGGAAACATATAAAGGGGTATGGAGGAAACATATAAAGGTGGTACTGACGGAGTAGAGGGACGGAGGATACATATAAAGGTGGTACTGACGGAGTAGAGGGACGGAGGATACATATAAAGGTGGTACTGACGGAGTAGAGGGACGGAGGAAACATATAAAGGTGGTACTGACGGAGTAGAGGGATGGAGGAAACATATAAAGGTGGTACTGACGGAGTAGAGGGATGGAGGAAACATATAAAGGTGGTACTGACGGAGTAGAGGGACGGAGGAAACATATAAAGGTGGTACTGACGGAGTAGAGGGACGGAGGAAACATATAAAGGTGGTACTGACGGAGGAAACATATAAAGGTGGTAGACGGGAGGGAGGAGGAACATATAAAGGTGGTACTGACGGAGTAGAGGGATGGAGGAAACATATAAAGGTGGTACTGACGGAGTAGAGGGACGGAGGAAACATATAAAGGTGGTACTGACGGAGTAGAGGGACGGAGGAAACATATAAAGGTGGTACTGACGGAGTAGAGGGATGGAGGAAACATATAAAGGTGGTACTGACGGAGTAGAGGGATGGAGGAAACATATAAAGGTGGTACTGACGGAGTAGAGGGACGGAGGAAACATATAAAGGTGGTACTGACGGAGTAGAGGGACGGAGGATACATATAACTGTGAGGATGGAGGATACATATAAAGGTGGTACTGACGGAGTAGAGGGATGGAGGAAACATATAAAGGTGGTACTGACGGAGTAGAGGGACGGAGGATACATATAAAGGTGGTATTGACGGGGTAGAGGGACGGAGGAAACATATAAAGGTGGTACTGACGGAGTAGAGGGAAGGAGGAAACATATAAAGGTGGTACTGACGGAGTAGAGGGACGGAGGATACATATAAAGGTGGTACTGACGGAGTAGAGGGACGGAGGAGGAAAGGTGGTACTGACGGAGAGAGGGACGGAGGAACATATAAAGGTGGTAGGGATGGAGGAAACATATAAAGGTGGTACTGACGGAGTAGAGGGATGGAGGAAACATATAAAGGTGGTACTGACGGAGTAGAGGGATGGAGGAAACATATAAAGGTGGTACTGACGGAGTAGAGGGACGGAGGATACATATAAAGGTGGTATTGACGGGGTAGAGGGACGGAGGATACATATAAAGGTGGTACTGACGGAGTAGAGGGATGGAGGAAACATATAAGGGTTGTACTGACGGAGTAGAGGGACGGAGGATACATAAGGGTCGTACTGACGGAGTAGAGGGACGGAGGATACATATAAGGTTGTACTGACGGAGTAGAGGGATGGAGGAAACATATAAAGGTGGTACTGACGGAGTAGAGGGATGGAGGATACATATAAAGGTGGTACTGACGGAGTAGAGGGACGGAGGATACATATAAGGGTCGTACTGACGGAGTAGAGGGACGGAGGAAACATATCAGTGTTGTACTGACGGAGTAGAGGGACGGAGGATACATATAAGGGTTGTACTGACGGAGTAGAGGGACGGAGGATACATATAAAGGTCGTACTGACGGAGTAGAGGGATGGAGGATACATATAAGGGTCGTACTGACGGAGTAGAGGGATGGAGGAAACATATAAGGGTTGTACTGACGGAGTAGAGGGATGGAGGAAACATATAAAGGTGGTACTGACGGAGTAGAGGGATGCAGAGGAAACATATAAAGGTGGAGGCAGCAGGTGAGAGTCATATAAAGCTGATGAAGCAGAGAGATGGAGGCAGCAGGTGAGAGTCGGATGAAGAGGGATGGAGGAAACATATAAAGGTCATGACAGAGGGATTGAGGCAGGGATGAGATCATAAAGGTGATGAAGTAGAGGAGGATGGAGGTGTGTAGCAGATGAGGTCATATACTGATGAAACGAGAGTAGAGGGA